TTTTCTCTCTTTTTTTTTCTCTCCGCGAGGACGCGGGATTTTTTTCATGGAGGGGTTGTATGTTAGGTACCTCCTCCCGTACCTTTTCTAGCTGGCCTGCATGCACTTACGTACTCACCTTTTGTCTCCTTTTGTTCCGTTGGCCTGGGTAGCTACTTGCGCGCCCATATTTGCCATAGCTACCCAGGCCCTTTATCTTGCCGTTCAGACTTATCTCTCTCTCTCTCTCTTTTTTCTCACTCGTCAATAATCACCATGTAGTCGTTTCGTTCGTCTTGGTCTCTTGTCTCGTCGTCTATAATAAATGTCGTTCCCACTAACTTGTTCCCGTTGTCAGTCGTCCTGTTTCGAACTCAACACTACAGTAAAACCTGTGACTAACGACCACCTCTTGGGGCCAGAGAAAGCGGTCTCTAGTGGCAGGTGGTCCTTAGTTAGAGGTTTGCACCGCACAACCATAATGAATGTGAGACCGTCCGTGCCTAGCAAAGTGGTCGGTGGTACCAGGCTGGTCGCTAGTCTTTAGTTACAGGTTTTGCTGCACTAGTAATCTGCAACCCTGTTTTCACCGACAAATCGGCCATTCAAGGAATATTTGGAGTACAATGTGCAGCCTGGTTTTTTTTAGAAAGATCCTCCGAAAGTGATGCCATGCACTCTATACTGAGTCTATAACAAGCAGGAGTCTGGGCAATGCTTCGGCCAGCTGCAGATATCCAAGAGTGATACTCGTGAAACCGGAAAGGTACCGATTCAACTCGCATAACCAGCAAATAGTGTAGGGCGTAGGGTACGTGCATGTGGCTTATGCCAGGCCAGAGGTGACGAGTCTCGTACCAGTTTGATACATTGCACAGCTTCTTGTAGGGCATGTATTTCATAATCAAGAGTATAGTGCACACCCGTGATTTCAAGCCCGAAACGGTGCATCTAAAATGCACACTATACTCCGGCGAATACAGTACGTGTTACATTGCACCTGCACTTTCTTTGGCAGCCTGCTGACAAATGACAACTTTGCTAGCAACAAAAACGATGCACTGAAGGACAGAGCGGGAGCAACAAAGTCACGACGCTACAGGAGTTTATCCGACTCACCGTCATATAAGCCAGCACCTGGAAGCCAGGGTCACGGTATGTAGTGGCTGATACCAAAGTGGCTGGCGGACCACACATGTCCTTTGCTGCGTATGTGCGAGTGGAGATCTGGGAACCAGGAACCTCCATGAAATGCTCAAAAGACTCAGACAAACTGTACTGCAAGTAGAAAGGACGAGAAAGACAAGAAAGAGGTGAACCTGAAGTGACATCTGCATAAGAGAGACCATTTGTGCAGGTTTGGATTGAGAAAAGTTTAGAAAATGGCAGAAAAATACTGCAAAGAGCATTGTAACTAGTACAGCCAACATTGGATATGCTTCAGAGCAAACCAAAAGTTCTAGGAGAAATAGTCATGAACAGCCAACTCCCAGATGGTCTTCTTGTGATCTGTCAAATTGTGAGTTCTGATGCCCTGAGAAGTAGTCAGCGGGAAAAAATTCAGGAGTGTGGGCTTGAGCATGAGCAACCTGTCCACGGGAATCAGTGCCGTGTCCTCTCCTGGGTCTTTTCAACTCCCTGATAGAGTTAGCTAAGGCACAGGGTAATCTCAGGGCAAGACCAATAGTACAGAGGTTTAAGAAAAGGACGAAACAGTTCTGCCCGCAGATTGAGGTTTAACATCACGCATTCGAGTTCGCGAACATTTTTCGATTCGCGAACTGGATTGCGAACTTTCGCACTTTTCATTCGGAAAAGCAGTTGAAACACGTGTCAGGACAGTCATAAATTTACTACATTGTACTGTCTGCACACATGTACGATCAACGTCATCAAGAGTACATAAACCAGAGTGTGCAACTGTGCATATCAGATCTGGAACAGCGCAGTTCGTGCACTACGTCACCCTGATGAGGTCAGCCAAGCCGCGACTTGCGTACAGCTCAAATTTTCATGTTTCATAGCCCGGAAATCAGCCAAGTTTGCTTGATTTTAGACGTCCAGTTCCAGGATTTCGGTGTTTTGTGTGACTGTGTACGCTGCGTACATCCACCGACAAGTAAAGTCACCAGGCTATCCGTCTCAAAAACCGAAATCAGGACAAACTCAGTGACCTGCACCACCGCGACTGGTTACGCAACTGTTCACCGTACCTGTCGTTTACCATGCCGTCAGAAATGACGTAGTGCACGAATTACGCTCCCACAGGAACCATCCTGAGTTGCACACTCTGGTTTATGTACTCTTGACGTCATACAAGTGTGAATTCTGTTTGCTAATCCTCATCATCACGCAAATTTCGACTTTCATTGGAGTGCGAACACGCGAAATTTGTCTGGCTAAACCTCCGTAGTATGACAATTAAAAGCACTGGACTGACAAAGGTCTTCTTCTCGGAAGCACAGCACAAACATAAACTATTAAACCTAGATTAGTTGTGGGACTTGTTCATATTGACAGAGGTAGCAAACAACACATGGATGAATAAACGCCCTCATGGGTAGCTCTCTCTCTCTCTCCCTCTCTCTCTTCTTACCTGCACGATGAGGTCTTCTTCGCTGTCAGTGGTCCACATTAGAGCCATGGTGTCAATGTCATTACCCAAGGACAAGCGACCGCCACAGGCTTCATGTTGCTCAACAGCAACATGGGCAGTTGCCTTCACATAGTGCTTGCCATTGATTGTCTGGTAGTACCTAACAAAACAAAACAAAAGCACAGACTCTCAGTAATGACAGTTTTCCTTGCAAGATTTCAACATTTTCACTTCTCCTAGAAATCAATGGGCAGACAGAGTGGCTAACTATGATGAATTCTGTTCAAAGTGCAAGCTTTACCTCAAGTACTAGTACAGTTGCGCTAGATAAAATCCAACCCGAAGTGCATATTTAGCACCCCAGACTTGCACCGCCCTTGACGCCCTGGAAGTGGTACATATGCGGTTGAACATACACATATACATAAGTCACTCTGAGCTCCGCTGGGGAGACATAACAAGGTCGAAACAGCTAGCGGTCCGGAGGTTGAGCATATACATATACATGACTGCAGTAATGAAATGGGAGCTGGTCCAGGGCGCCAGCTTTACACCTTGGGTCGGATTTCACCTGGCAGAGATGTACAACCACATGTACAAGTAATGTAAGTGAAGTGGGCACATCCGCGTTACCATCTACTTTCAATTGTGTTGAGAAACATTAATAGCTTGGAGAAATTTCGCTCATGCCAGGCCACCACCATGCGCTGACATCCTGACAACCACATGTGCTTGCCTAAATAACACCTCATGCACATGAAGAAAGTTGTTGACTGATCTCAACAATATTGCATGGCCATTCACACATGAATGCAACTTCATGCCAGAACACCACGAATGATATATTCGTACCTGAATCCGTAGTCCACGCGCATGTTAAACAGCTTCACAGGAAACTCTCCACTGCCTGTCTTCCAGCTCGATGAGACGTTGGCCCACTGATAATCCAAGTAATCCATCTGGTATGAAAACAACCCAGACGACAACAACAACAACAACGACGACAACGACAGCAGCAGCAAAAAGGGACAAGCTTATCTATTTTTGCGGATTTTTCATCATAAAAAAATAAACGTCACAGCCAAGCCTTCGTACGTGGCCGCGTCGCGCGACCGCGATACCGATCGGAAGCTCCGGGACACTTGGCCGTGGCCATTGCAGGGTCGGACAGATGACGGATGCATTTCAGCTTGCATTCGCGTACACGTACATACGTGGTACATACATGATTGTACAACAATACACATTGACCTGAAAGCTCATTGCGGCGGGAAGGGAGGAATAGTGACAGACGACGTTTTTGTTTTTTGTTTTTGTTTTTTTAGATGGACACGTTTTCGTTTTTGTTTTTGTCCTGATCATGATCCGATATGATGGCAAACGAGGTTAGAATATTAGATGGAGCGGAGGAATTGGAGGATTTCCTGAAAGTTGCCCTACCACGTGCTAGCTTTGTAACAAGGACCACAGAAAACCGTTCTCAAACAGGTAAGACCCACCAAAACAGAGCACGAAAATGCTGAATTCATTGTGGTTATGTTGCAGTGTTGAAGAGATCTTAAGGAAGCCATTCCCCGTGCAAAGTCCTTCATATGGAGCCAGGAACGTGGCACGAGCTGTGAACCGATTGCTTTTGATGGAGTTCCGTTCGTCTGCTGTGGCTTTCGCAGTGTTGAAGAGATCTTGAAGGAAGCCATTCCCCGTGCAAAGTCCTTCATATGGAGCCAGGAACGTGGCACGAGCTGTGCACCGATTGCTTTCGATGGAGTTCCGTTCGTCTGCTGTGGCTTTCGCACGCTAGAATGTCAATTTGGGAAGCACAGGTAATTAAATGGGCAGGAAGAATCTGAATGTGATCTATTTCATGCAATTGCTAGTTACCAATGAGAACAGTTGTACTCTCTTGATTCTTTTGCATCACCTTTGTCAGTGACCAAGTGTTGTTGTGTCGGTAACATTACAGGTGCCACACCACAAAATCCACCGAGTCCTCTAACGATGTAACCAGTTCAGCATCTGTTGATCATTCTTACCCCAAAGCCTCAGCTGATAAGAAGAAGAAGATGATAAAACTCCAAGGAAGCCATTCCCCGTGCAAAGTCCTTCATATGGAGCCAGGAGCGTGGCACGAGCTGTGCACCGATTGCTTTCGATGGAGTTCCGTTCGTCTGCTGTGGCTTTCGCACGCTAGAATGTCAATTTGGGAAGCACAGGTAATTAAATGGGCAGGAAGAATCTGAATGTGATCTATTTCATGCAATTGCTAGTTACCAATGAGAACAGTTGTACTCTCTTGATTCTTTTGCATCACCTTTGTCAGTGACCAAGTGTTGTTGTGTCGGTAACATTACAGGTGCCACACCACAAAATCCACCAAGTCCTCTAACGATGTAACCAGTTCAGCATCTGTTGATCATTCTTACCCCAAAGCCTCAGCTGATAAGAAGAAGAAGATGATAAAACTCCAAGGAAGCCATTCCCCGTGCAAAGTCCTTCATATGGAGCCAGGAACGTGGCACGAGCTGTGCACCGATTGCTTTCGATGGAGTTCCGTTCGTCTGCTGTGGCTTTCGCACGCTAGAATGTCAATTCGGGAAGCACAGGTAATTAAATGGGCAGGAAGAATCTGAATGTGATCTATTTCATGCAATTGCTAGTTACCAATGAGAACAGTTGTACTATCTCTTGATTCCTTTGCATCACCTTTGTCAGTGACCAAGTGTTGTTGTGTCGGTAACATGACAGGTGCCACACCACAAAATCCACCGAGTCCTCTAACGATGTAACCAGTTCAGCATCTGTTGATCATTCTTACCCCAAAGCCTCAGCTGATAAGAAGAAGAAGATGATAAAACTCCAAGGAAGCCATTCCCCGTGCAAAGTCCTTCATATGGAGCCAGGAACGTGGCACGAGCTGTGCACCGATTGCTTTCGATGGAGTTCCGTTCGTCTGCTGTGGCTTTCGCATGCTAGAATGTCAATTTGGGAAGCACAGGTAATGGAATTAAATGGGCAGGAAGAATCTGAATGTGATCTATTTCATGCAATTGCTAGTTACCAATGAGAACAGTTGTACTATCTCTTGATTCCTTTGCATCACCTTTGTCAGTGACCAAGTGTTGTTGTGTCGGTAACATTACAGGTGCCACACCACAAAATCCACCGAGTCCTCTAACGATGTAACCAGTTCAGCATCTGTTGATCATTCTTACCCCAAAGCCTCAGCTGATAAGAAGAAGAAGAGGATAAAACTCCAAGGTCGGAAGCATACCCAGAGAGAAGACCAATTAATTGACAATGGTGTCACAGTGAGAATGAAGAACTTGAGTTAGCTCTATAGACTATACTCCGACACAGCATGTTTCCAGCACAACTCAATGACTCCACTGAATGTGTGAACTGCCGTGATAGTGTAGACCAGCTATTCACCATCGTACCTTGATACTTGGGCAATTCGGACAAAATGTTCACCGCAACGTCTTCTTCAGTCCTTGGCTATACCGCCACAAAGAAATTCCTTCCAAATGGTTCACCCATGAGGCCATCATAAGGGCAGAGGAGAAGGATGTGCATACAGAGACTAATAATATACATACTACAGTCATAGTACATGTATAGAGATTCATGAGAGCACTGCACACCCGGGTGCCGTTAGTGCACTATCCACCAAGACAAAGAGAAGAAAACAAGAGTCTCCAATTCTTCAATGTAGTACATGCATCTATGCGATCCACACCAGTCCAAAAGAACACTAAGAGATTTTAGATGTATTTTCTGTTCTGGCTCGTGGTAGATCGAAGTTGCACTTGGCTGTTTTAGAGGAATCGTACATTCGTAAGTTGTCCCCTGATTTGTGTGTTCAGAACGAAAATGTTTTGTCCCTCCAGATGTTTGGTGTTAGTTCATGTGTGAGTGCCAAGAATAATATTTCCTCTTGATACGTTCGATGTGCTAGTAGTGTGATGTTTATCTCTCTTAATCCTTTCCCCATATAACTGCTGTCTTAGTCATTTTTGCTTTTTCCCTGTAAGAGCCCATGAAGAGAAGGGAACAAAAACGTTCGATCCTAAAATCTCTTAAAAATCTCTTGGTGTGGATTGTGCAGATGCATGTACAGTCAACTTCGCTTATAACGACACTCGGCGGGGCATCAGAAAAGTGTCCTTATTCGCGAAGTGTCGTTATACCCGAAGTCTCATTATATGTGTCACAGTTGGATGGGACTTTGCTCTGGGCATGAAAATTATGTCGTTATTCGCGAATTGTCGTTATATCCGCAGTCGTTATTAGCCAAGTTGACTGTACTATATTGAAAAAGAAAAAAAGCGTCGATGATTCTGACTTCGAGTGCGATGGAACATGTGATAATTCAAGAGAAAGGAGCAGCATCCAGGATGTGGCTCATCACTAGTTAGAAACTTTTAATTCATGGTTGATCTTCACGTGTCAACTGTGATGGCTGCTTTCGCTTATTTTCTTTTCCTTGCCCGTACTTATCCCGGATCAACAGCAATTGCAAGCATATTTAAGGATAGTAGCATGGCGTGGCATGTGCATGCAAGTGCTGAAATTCCCCTGCCTGAAAACATGACAAAAAAGAACATTGCACTTTTATGGGAAATTTGTGGCACCCCCGTGACCATGATCCTAGCTACGTTCCTGTACTTTGAAGTACATACTATCAAGAGTACATAAACCAGAGTGTGCAACTCAGGGTGGTTCCTGTGGGAGCGTAATCCGTGCAGTACGTCATTTCTGACGGCATGGTAAGCCACAGGTACGGGGAAAAGTTGCGCACCCAGACACGGTGGTGCAGGTCACTGAGTTTGTCCTGATTTCCGTTTTTGATACGGATAGCCTGGTGAATTTACTTGGCAGCGGATGTACGTAGTCACACAAAAACACGGAAATCCTAAAACAGGACGTCTAACATCATGCAAACTTGGCTGATTTCCGGGCTGTGAAACACGAAAATTTGAGCTGTACGCAAGTCGTGGCTTGGCTGACCTCATCAGGGTGACGTAGTGCACGAACTGCGCTGTTTCAGATCTGATATGCACAGTTGTACATTCTGGTTTATGTACTCTTGATACTATGTGTCGCGAACGCGATCATATTTTTCAGTAATCATAAATCTGACATAAATTTTACTGCTAGAGCCTATTTTTCTGACCTTGCCTTTTCTACAGTCCATTCATAAAAAGATGGGCCCGGGCTCTGGCGAGCTCCCGTATTTGGCGATTTTTCATGACTTTATCGTACACATGTGCACAGTGCATGCTGCAAAATTTGAAAAGGGTCCAAAAAGGGTACTGGACTGGGGTTCGAACTAGGCCCAGACAGATCCTGCCGGCAATTCTTTCTGCAAAATATCGAAGAATTGAAAGAGCGGAAATTGCCGGCAAAATCGGAGCAAAATATCGAAATGTTGGGTAAAATCGATGCCTGATACTTGGATTTCCTTGTTTCTTACCCGTTCAGCTAGCAGGATACACTGCCCAGGACGAGATTATGTCACCGAAATATCTCTGGGATTAACTGTGGATCGACTTGATTTTGGAAGAACTCAGGAACACGTGCGTTGAAACCCGTGTTGAGAAACCGACCCTGCGATTTTTATGACACGTTGTACGGGATTGTACGCGAAGTGGATATAATACACGTTTTTCCGGAGCAAAATGGAGCAAAATATCGAGTTTCTTGTGCCAGGCTCGGCAAAATATCGAAGACTTCGCAGCAACATTTTGCGGCAAAATATCGAGGGGACCGGAGCAGAATCTGTCTGGGCCTAGTTCGAACCTCACAATGCACTGTTGCAGGCAGGGTCAAACGGCCTGGATTTTGACGTTTTTTCCCAATTCAGTGCTTTTGGGGCAAAACCTGGTGAAATCCTATTCTTGTTATGGCTTGCTTTTTGGACAAATACTGTAAAAGCCATATATAACGAAGTGCTAACTCTAGGAGAAATCTGTCGTTAAAATAGAAATCGATACATATACTGTCCTATTGAGCGTTGAGAATGAGTGAAAATTAGGGGTGAAACAATTATACCGAATACTCGAGTACTCGCTCGGTTTTTTCAGAAATAATCGTACTCGGAATAAATCAGAGTACTCGTTCATACATGGTGCATGCATTTACCACAGAAATCTGCAGTTTCAGAGCAGCAGTCGGCAGATATTGATGTGCAGACTGTGTGGTGAACATTTGTTCACGAGTAGAGAGAGCCACCAACCAATATACCAGAGAAAAATGACTGCCACTCGGTTCAATCAGGGTTGTATCATGTGACTTTAAGGCCCTTGGTGTGCAATTTTTAGAGGATGAAGAATACTCGAATACTCGAATATTCGATCGGAGAAAATCAGAGTACTCGAACTCGGGATCTCAATGCCAACTTTCACCCCTAGTGAAAATCGTTACCTTTGGTACACGTAAACTAGTCTATTTCGGGAAATCGTTATATATGCGCCTCGTTAGAATAATGGCTTTTACAGTAGACTTCAGAAACATAATTGGAAGAGTGCCCCATAGGGGATTGCAGAAAAAATTCTTGAAAAACTCAACGTTTGACCCATTTATGGCCAAAAGCTAGAAGTCCATCTTTTTCTGAATGGACTGTAGTCCATATTCTGAATGGGTGTAGGCATGTGCAGCATGGTACGCACGCATATAAGGCATGCGCAATCTTTAGCCATATAATTTTGGCACACACACTCCAAATCAGCCTTCTCTTTAAAGGGGAAGTTAAGGCAAAAATCAAAATGTCACCAGTTGTAGTCTTTCGGGGTGCTGAGTCGAATGGTCTTGGTCCGAGAAAGCTGAGACGCTCCCTTCCTACTTGAATCCCAATCGAACTCGCGCACTTCCACCGAAACTGGGTGACTGCGCCCTACTAGATGGGGATTTGTATGCAAAATCTCACTAAAAGCGCCATTTCGTTCTTATAAAAGCACGGATGACCGCGATTGGCCCATATGTTGTAGTCTTTTGGACGCTGAGTCGACTGGTTTTGGTCGGAAAAGGCTGCGATGCAGCGTTCCTCCTTTATTCCCAATCGAACATGGTTGAACAAGCGGTCACGTGCTCCTGGGTGCCCAAATCACCTGGTCACCACGCCAGCAGGCGACAACTTTCACACCAAGGTTCAACTTGAGTTCAACTCGAGTGACTGGACTGCACCCAAAAAAGGTCAAACAGGCTAGTAAGTTGTACCCTGCAGGCACGGTGGCCAGGTGACTGGTGTACGCAGTAGCACGTGACCGCTTGTTCAACCATGTTCGATTGGGAATAAAGGAGGAACGCTGCATCGCAGCCTTTTCCGACCAAAACCAGTCGACTCAGCGTCCAAAAGACTACAACATATGGGCCAATCGCGGTCATCCGTGCTTTTATAAGAACGAAATGGCGCTTTTAGTGAGATTTTGCATACAAATCCCCATCTAGTAGGGCGCAGTCACCCAGTTTCGGTGGAAGTGCGCGAGTTCGATTGGGATTCAAGTAGGAAGGGAGCGTCTCAGCTTTCTCGGACCAAGACCATTGGACTCAGCACCCCGAAGGCTACAACTGGTGAAATTTTAATTTTTGCCTTAACTTCCCCTTTAAGAACACTAACATTCGACCTCGTGTCACTCGTGTTGTGTCAGCCCAAGTTCGTGTGAAGTAAGCAAATTAGTGGCATGAGTTTTACCAGGGTAGTCGCACTAGCGACATTATGCAAGGTACAGAGAATGGGCCGGCAATATTCAAATTCAGAAGTCACTACATGTACCTCTGAAGAGTTGGCAGGGCTGTAGATTCCAATCCAATCAGAGATGCGGGCATCAGCTATGCCAGCCCAAGACACAGAAACAGTATCGCCCGACGATACTAGGGCCTTGCTGACAGTCATTTGGCCTGTCGCAGGACTGCAACCACAGGAAGATATTTACAACGCACGCACGCACACACACACACACACACACACACACACACACACAATGCATTCAGGAATCAGAGTTCAAGAGTTTTAGCAACGACAGGGTTGAGAGGGACGTGTTAGTTCAATTCACCCAACCTCACCCACCTACTTTTCTCCAGAAAACTGATCTGGAGACACTAGGGCACAACTGGGCCGGTCTCTTTTTCAATTCTTTTTAGTTCTTCGCTGGCACTACTGTATTCTTTCCGTATCTCCTATTGGGTCTTCCTTGCTGTGCATGAACAGTTCATCAGAGTCATATCTTTTGAACTATTGTTTTTTGTGGTCAACGCATCTCCAAAAACTGACAAATCGATTCATTCTGATTTCCACCCAGGGACTTTCGCAAGAATTGAGAGGCACAGATCGCCTGTGTGTAGGCTGTGATTATGGATGCATTTTCCTCTCCCGGGTATATACGACTCCCTGGAATGTGTTCCTAGTTGGAACAATCAACTTCATCCCTGGAATGTGTATACCTGTATGCTGGATCAAGCGGAATCCTATCATATCGAGACAGTTTCTGCTACACCAAGAGCGCTCGTTAGGGCAGGTTTTACGATATATGTGTGCACGTGTGTGTGTGTGTGCGCATGTGCGTGTCTGTGTGCATGTATGTGTAAGTGTGTGTGTGCGCATGTGTGTGCACACGTGCATGCACGCATGTGCATGTTTGTGTGCATGTGTGTGTGTGCATGCGCGTGCAGGAGTGTAGTGGGTGGGTTGTGTGTGTGTGCATGCGTCTGCGCGTGCACACGCACGTATCCATCTATCGCATACTTGCATGTTCACTCAATCTGCGGACAGAACTTATCGTATCTATCGTATAATATGTTCTTATACAACAATTGATGGAAGTTGTTTATCAGGATCATATCGGTGCACGTGGGGCATAATGCAAACTTAGTACGTAAAAATTCCGACTTTTCACACAACTTTTCATAATTAATTTACAAACACTGAAAGACTTAAAGTACAGCTCAAGTGTTGAACCTGAAGTACTACAGCAGCGGGCTTACTCGTCAGCACTCTTGCCGGCAAAGGGGTACTGCAGATGAGTTTTGAAAGAGGGATGGTTGACATCTTCAAGTTCATCAGACGGTCCCACTCTATGACTAAATGTCGGTATGGAGTGCTTCCCCGCAGCCAAGCTAGGCACCACACAGACTAGCACGAGTAAGTGAACGATACTAGCCATCATCTTGCTTCAGCTCCAAACAAGAACTTCTTGTCTTAGCCTCAGACAGAGTCAGAAGGGTGTTTGGCCTTCGCATTTGGGTGTTTCATAAGAAAAAGAAGAAGAAAAAACCTTTCGCGCACGCGATCGACATATCCCGACTTTGGCTCGGAGTGCCCGGGTACCCGGGTACTGCCAGTTACCGGGGTAATTCCCTACCGGGTACGCGGGTACGCGTGGTACAAGCGGTACCGCATTCACGGGATATGGACGTATACGTACCGTACTAGTTACGCGGTCAGTACACGAGTCGTCGCGTCGGGCGCGGCCGCCTCGGCTCGAAAATATGGCGTCTCAACAGCAGTTGGCGTTCAACGAGGCAAGATTTCTTTTTCGTATCTTTTTTGGAAAGCGTAGTTGTGGTTGTAGACTTGACTTTGTTCTTGTGTGCTGTCTTCTTCCTTTCCGATGAGAATAGTGAGCAGCTTGTAGTAGTTAATTACTTTCCTACCTTCCAAAATGAGTCAAGGTGCAGGAACTGACTATATCGGAAGTAGGATAAGCCTAATTTCTAAAGCCGATATTCGCTACGAAGGTTTTTTGTATTCAGTTGATCCAAAGGAGTCAACTGTTGCATTATCGCAAGGTATGTGTTCTTTGTTGGATGTTATACTGATGAAAGGGTGCTGGAGTTGAGTTTATCGAAATTACTTTAAATTCTGTTCACAGTTAAATTATATGGCACTGAAAACCGTCCAGTAGCGCACCACATCCCGCCCAAGGATGAGGAATATGACTACATTATATTTCGAGGCGCTGATATCAAGGACTTGCAAATTGTTCAGGCCCCTACTAAACCAGCCAGCTCTTTGCCACCGGACCCCGCTATAGTTTCGGTAAGTTATGGAGTAAGAGACGGGGGCGGGGATTTGTGTTAAACTTTATTTTCGTCATCAAAACACTTTTTCTCGTACAGTACAGTATCTATCTGAAATGGTACAATGTAATTTACGTGGGGTGTCTTGGATTTGATGGTACCTAACATGCACTATGCAGGTAATTATCATCAGATGCTTCGGAGGCGAAATGTCTATGAAATACCTTAGGGCATGATCGATTGGCGAATCCCGATCAAGTGCGCTCAGAGTAAGCGTGAATAGAGAGGTTCCGCATAACGTAATTACGTTAGTAAAAAACGTAGTCGATCTACGGAAAGTCTTACGTAAACTGCATGCGGGTCTGTGTTCCGCCATACGGAGTTTTCAAATCACCGAGCTGCCCTTGGCAACTCCGAACGCGGCAGTGTACGACCGGATCGACCTGGGGAGAGGGTCATAAATGTGTACCCCAATCCACGTACGGAGCACCTACGTTATCAGAGCCCTATCTACGTACTCTCCGTAGACAACTTTCCGTAAGTGGAGTGCAAACTCGCGACTTCACGGGGTTTTTCCGCCCACGAACGTAAAGTTGCTCAACTTTACGTAGTGCGGAACCTCGCTATTGTTTGGCCGAATTCGGAGTACTAGTAGGTATACTTGGAGTGCAATCCGACCACACCGGCCCCACGCCAGGTGTGGCTGGAGTGGAAATAGTCCTTATGCACATTACATCATCTCATACAGATGTACGAATTCCCTTGGGTGTGTACATGCACGGTTGGGTGTTCATCATGTGCTATACATGCGCATTAGACCAGTTTAGCCCAATACTTCGTGGCAGAAAGTCGCTTCTTCAGCTTGGATAGCGCTAATTACTAGCTAGATCTTTGTCCGAAAAAAAGTTGTTGCATGAAATGCCTGAAAGAACGTTTCGTATTCGAAAATACAGATAACACAATAGGGTCCTGTACATTCAACACCCAACTGGGTCTACGGGATTTCGTACGTGACGTCAATGTGCATAAGAGTTATGGAGTTTGGCGTTTTTTGACAGCTTTCACAAACAACCTTGACATTAAGTGTGGAGCATGGCAGGTCCAGTGAGAACAACAGTCCAGGTTACTGGCACATGTTGTTGCTACTCCGGGTTTCTTGCATAAGCGATCAGTCAGGAGTTGAGAGGGACGTGCTGCGTCGCAAAAAAAATGCTAGAATATGTACATGTAGATGTTTGACCTTTTCCTGTGGCGTCGCAAAGGATTAAAGGCAACACACAGTTACGCTGCGCCCTCCTTCAGAAACCTTCACACCATCCTTTAGAATATGTTGGAGTGCGGGGATCTGTCGGCATGCTACTGAATAGGGCAATCTTCTCAGGCCGAACGGATGTTTGTTTACTCGTTCTCATGTTCAATAGTATTCCCGTGATATACATCGACAAGTAGTATTTTTGTCACAACAGAGCCTGTGCCATAGACCTCATACTCCCAAACAAAGTTGTGTGGTGCTGTATGCCCACTTGTGAGTCATGGTGAGTGGCAAGACGTGCCATGTACAGTGTATAGGTAAAGTTTGCACGTTTGCGTTACCACCGGCTGTACTATTATACATGTAGGTGCCCAAGGAAAATATTTGCTACTACGGCCTGGAATGTTTGTGTTAAAATAATTCGGAATCTTTCATCGCGTAGTTATTTAGTCGTAGACTCAAAGTCGAAGCAGAATTATATCTTCTTCACAAGTACCCTTTTCTTTCATTACAAGGGGACATACAGACTACCTGTAGTACATTGTATGTGTATTTGCTATATCTCTACACATGGCCGGTGATGAGAAATGACTTACCTGAAACTGGTTCAGACCCAGTTATTCAGCTATGATGGTTATTTCTTCAACTGAGGCCATTCTTGCAAACTTCCATTTGTAAATGCGTTGTCTCCTACAGAGGTGATAATGCTTTCTTGCTGCTTCCAGCTGGTTGCATACCATTGTTCATTGATAAACTGCTCTTCTTCCATCGTTGTGTGTCCAGCAAGCGCCGCCGAAACCCGTGAGTCAGGGAGCTGGTTACTCTCCATTCGGACAAAGTGCCCCTCCGCCTAGTGTTGGCGTAACATTTGGTAACTTTGGTCCAGTGCCGCCTGCTGGTTCGAATCAGCCCCGCCCCGCTGCACCTGCTGCTGTCGGTAGTGGTTCTGCGTCTGGCCCCGGAGTAATAGGTCAGCGCAGACCAGCTACCAGAGCAGCTGCTGCTCCGCCGGGTATGGCAGCACCTCCGCCGACCACTTCCATGCCGCCATCCAATATGGGTGCTGAGGCAGCACATTATACGCAGCCCGCTGATCATGAACAGCGACAGCCGCAGGCACATGGCCAGGCGGCTCAGCCCGCGCCTTCTGCTGCACAAGGTGGCCCTAAGGTGCAGACGGCGACGATTTCTGCTGCTGGCGCCAAGCAATCGGCTCCTGCTGGTCACCATCATCATCACCAGCAGCAGCAGCAACAGCAACAAGCACGCAGTGACCGTAAGCAACATTCCTATACTGTGCTGTGTACACAATGTTATGTACAGGTCCATACATGACAGCACATACATGTACGTGAGGTGTTTAGAGATACATGTATGTATGGGGGAGGGGTTGTTGATTATATCCCTGTTGAGGTTACGTTTGGTTGGTCCCAATCCAGAATGGGAATCGCTGAGAATGATCATTCCAGAATCAAAAATGATAATGGTTGCCACGAGCCAAACAATATAGCAACAGGTTCAAGTGCCTCAAATCATGCACTCGGAAGTACCTTGAATCTCTCAAGGAAACTATAGTCGGGTAAAAGAGAAGAGAGCCGCCGTTCCACAATGACATGGAATTGTTATGTCGAGTGATTCCTACTTGGTCCGACTTATTAAAATGTGCGTTTCGCTTTGAACATCAACCAAACAAATTCAAATAATCTCAGGACGGAATAAACTTTCCAGCTATCTAACACTATCATTCAGTTGTCAATTTGTGATGTTGAAGAAGAAATGGCTCCAACTCCAAAGGAGGCAGCGGCTCGGGATCCTAGTCGACTCGAGCATTTTGCGTCCAAATTTTTGTCGTCAGAGGACTCCTGTTGCTTCTCGCGCAACACAGAGAAGGCCTGGTGCTGAAATCAACACCCCGCTGCGATGGGGGATTGTCACGGAGTACCAGAACCTCCTGGGGGATCGTTCTCGAGTGCCTCCTGGCGGATTGAAATCGCTGCAATCGCTGTTTCCTTGGCAGAATTTCAGCAAACGCGTCATCCAGTAGCTCGTGCAGAAAGCACCAGCATCGCTCCGTCCAGTTTGCTGATCTCTCCGGCAGTCGTTCACTATGTGGCGGCCGACGAATCAAGATCACAGAAGAGATCGTCGAGAAGTTGATCGAAATAAATAACCGGCCTTGAGGTCGACTTTCAGGCGACAACCTGGCTGGAAAACTGAAGCGCAGAAAGGGTGAATTATCCGGCGGATACGGTGCTGAGTCCTCGGATCCGCGCGCGGAGCCGCGATCGCGATGCGTCACAAGATCGCCAGTCTCCGGGGCCAGTGGATTCGTGAAACAGGCAGGGAAGAGCACGCATGGTCTGACTGCATGACATGTCGACACAGATCAGACTAAGTACGCGTGCGCGCGCGGTACAAGGTGGTCAGAAGTGATTTTTTATGCGTGGTGGTTTACTTGTTCGCCTCATTTGAAAATGTCGTTGGAGCTTCAGGCTAAAACACCTATAGCCACCATTCTGGTAGTCGCACTGCACGAGGAGGAGGCGAAGTCGATCGTGGAAATCGTGCCTATGGAGTGAAAAAATCAAAGAAGCGCAGTGTAGCTTGGAGAAGATAAAAAAATGTCGACGTTTTGCAGGTTGACGCACTTGCAGATGCGCCCTGAGACACCAGCAGCGATGAAAACTAGAAGGTCAGGCCAAGAAACGACACAGTAGTTATCTATCTACCGTCTCTTGGTTGATTTTTTAGTACAGGTGCTCCTTTGTACATATGCTTGAGTTTTGAAGTGAAGCGCACATTTTAATAAGTCGGATCAAGTAGTTGATTCTGGCGTGTTTGTTTGGTCAGGTGATTCTTACCCATTCCGGAATGGTTGTCATTTACATTCTGAAAATGCCCAACCAAACGCAACCTGAATCATGAGGGGAGGAGCCGTCCATTTACTATCCGCATTAGAATATCACTCATGGCACCTATATAGGCTACTAGCAGCATCCGGCCAGCGTTGCCTGGCCGAACGTGGCATGCGGGTGAAGCAAGTACATGAACAGCACACGTGCTCAGCACGTGGTGGTGGCTACACGCTTCGCGTGCTCAGTGCTTCTGTGGCTGCTTCGCTAGCTACACGATTCGCACGCTTCGCGTGCTCAGTGCTTCTGCGGCCGCTAGCTACACTGTTCGCACGCTTCGCGTGCTCAGGGCAGCGCTGCTCCGCAGCGCTTCTGCGTAACACACAGACAAACACACGTCACAGGTGCCTCTTCTTTATAGTATACTAGCAGCACCCCAGGCCAGCGTTGCCTGGCCGAATGTGGCATGCGGGTGAAGCAAGTACATGAACAGCACACGTGCTCAGCACGTGGTGGTGGCCAGACCGCTGAAGTCCTGGTGAGGGAGGTTCTTCATGGTTGGAAGGAGAAGGAGGGACGTCTGTTACGCCTTCGGGAGGCTGGTCAGGGTTGTCCATCACCTGGTGGCAGATGAAGCGGCTCAAAAAATTCATAAACTTACGAACAAAAGTGCGATGCGCTCTTCACTGCAGATCAGATGCAGAGTGCAGTCAGTGCAGATCTTTTGTATCCTTTTGTTGCAGATGTTTCTATTTGCAGAGAACGGTTCACGTGGTCCGCAGCGCTTGTGCAGCTGCTAGTGCTACCTATGGCCTAGGCTAGGTGGCTACATGATTCGCACCCTTCGGGTGCTCAGTGCTTCTGCGCGCGGCTGCTACTGCTACTCGTACTGATCGTGTCTGCTATAAGCGCTACCACGTACCTACACTGTTCGCACGCTTCGCGTGCTCAGCACGTGGTGGTGGCTACACGATTCGAACGCTTCGCGTGCTCAGTGCTTCTGTGGCTGCTTCCGCTAGCTACACGATTCGCACGCTTCGCGTGCTCAGTGCTTCTGCGGCCGCTAGCTACACTGTGCTACACTGTTCGCACGGTTCGCGTGCTCAGGGCAGCGTGGCATACACACACACGTCACAGGTGCCTCTTCTTTATAAGGAGCGTGACACACACACACACGTCACAGGTGCCTCTTCTTTATAAGTAAAGATAACATATCGTATCGAAACTCTACTCGTTTTGTTCAAAGAAATCCAACCCACGTGCCGAAAGCAGCGCCAAGGCTCATGCGGGCCCTGCGGCCCTCGGATCAGTTTTGGGAACATGCATTATGTAATTGAATTGGAAACGCGGCGCTACTTTTTAATTCGCAGGTTGGATTTCTTTGGCCACGGCTGTAGTTGTGTTCAATAGAATCCCAACTCGTTGATAAGTTAACCTGGACCCATGCACTTGGTACATGTGAACAACTTGACAATCAAACACACTCATCGCCAGCGGCCATTCGGCTGCATAGTACATGCAAACATGGTAGAGTCGCCGCTAAGTGGACATGTCAGCTGCTCGCCTTCACACCGATGGCTTCCTAGTATTGTCCTAAGGGCCTGGTCAGACTGCGGCAAAACGAAATAATCCTGTGATTATAATCCGAATCTCCATAGAAACTTGACGCCAGAGTGGGGAAATCGAGGGTTGACACTTCAAAAAAAGCAAGAAAGGACCACACTTTTCCGCTCCAAACAGGAGTTTGACGCTGGTATTCACTGATTTTTTCATCTCGATATCGAGGAGCTAATTGGCAGCGGTCAACAACAAAACTCATAAAGATAGTTGCAAGGATTGCGCTGAAGGTGTTGGCGATTACCGAGGTGAAGGAATTTGACGTTGTTCGTGGAGATTACCACTTGATGCTTGAAATGAATTTTTATTCTCCCCACATGTGTAGTGTGATCGTGATTCTAATCCTGAACAATTTTCTTGCACCGGAAATTTCCCGCAGTCTGACCAGGCCCTAGCCGAGTCGATTAAAGTTGCGTGCACATGGAGAGGCTTGACCCCTCTGTGTTAAGCTGAGGCATTCCTATGCCACGGTTCTAGCAAAGGGGAGTGGGTCATTTTTGACGTTTTTCGGTTCATACCGCGAAAATGCGGCCACACATCGATGGTTCCGGGTGCTCTGTGCACCTGTACGTTGCATTTTTTTTAACAATTTTTGTGACAAGGCAATAGGGGAATATGGGAAAATGGGTGAACTGTTTGCTTCCACTGCCCGTCTCCCTCTCTCCCCCCCCCCCCCCCCCCCCCCCACACACACACACACAGTTTTTCCTGACTAGAACTCTGCTATGCTGTCAAGTGTTGTGCATACATGGATCTATACAATTATAATATGAAGCTTGTACTTCCGTTGATATGGCACTCCATTCACATGTTTGTCATTCTAATAGTCCACTTTCCTTACACTCTGTTCTGTGAATGATCTCATAGGTGGTGCTCCGCGGAACCGAGGAGGTAACTATTCTGGCTATCGTCGAAATGATGGAGACAACAACCAGGGTTATGAGCAGCGTGGACGAGGTGGTGGTGGTGGTACGTATCGAGGTGGTCGTGGTGGACGCGGTGGCGGCGGATATCGTGGTGGTTACCAGAGCAAGCCACAGGAGAAATATGAGGACGACTTTGATTTCGCAACCTCCAACGCACGCTTCAGTAAGGATGATCTGGAGGATGAAATCACGCAAAAACTGGATGATGCAACGCTGAATGAAAAGGAGAAGCAGGCTGCCGCTAATGCTGCATCAGATTCAGTTGTGTATTACGACAAGGACTCCTTCTTTGACAGTATCAGCACTGGAGATATGGGCGGTGGCAGTAGGTATGTATTTGTCACATTTTACATGTGCAATTCTCTTGTTTTGGGGGGGGGGGGGCGTACTGGAATTTCACCAACTTCAGCAGCAGCGATCACCTCCCAACTTTGGACATGGGTGGTGACATTTGAGCAGCTGGTGACCTGAGAGAAAGACAGTGTTCAGAAGTTTGCAGCAAAAAAAAGCTCATGCAGAACCTTCATTGGTAGTACCCAAAACTGGCGCACGCACGTGCACACATCTAGATAGTATGCTGTTGATGTGCTCCCTTGAGGTCTGAACCAGGGATATTGTCCCAATGGCTCATGAAGTTGCATAGACCCAGGCCCTACCAACTGAATTCTGGTTGTAGTCAGACGCACTGTTGCTTCCGGTGAATCTTTTGTCTTGTGACAAACTGTCATTATCATACCTGATGTAGTGCAAATCGCGTAGAAAATGTGCTGGCACTGGCTGCACGATATGCAGTAGCAGTGTATAGTGCACATGGACAAATTCTCTGTTAGTGTGATACCAAGAGTACATAACCCCCCAGAGTGTGCAACGCCTGATCCAGCTCTGTATAGGGTCTTGGTCGAGCGGAATCGGATCTTTGCGTCATAATACCGTACACATATGAGGGGAACCCGGGGAGTCGCGGGTACTCTTGGATCAAAAACAATGGTGCCCTGCCTCGAGACCGGCCTTGCGCTGGTGTGAAGTGTACGCATGACATCAGAAGATCCGATTCCGCTCGACCAAGACCCTACACAGAGCTGGATCGGCGTTGCACACTCTGGGGGGTTATGTACTCTTGGTGATACTAGTCAACTGCGTACCAGTCTGGTCTGTTTTTTGTTTGTTTTTAATAATTCATTCACGTCTTGTCATGTTAACGCTTTGGAGCCTGCACAGTCAAATATCGACGGTATACCGTTGATGGACTAAAACGTTCGTAACTCACTCTACACTTGACGGATTTCCACGATCGAAATATCTGGGAAGAAGCCGAAGAGCTCAGCTTTCTAATGCAACAATTGCCGAAGAGTTACGATGTCGCGTTGCAGAGATATCGCGCTCGACATTTCAGTCACGGCAAAAGTCGAACTTTTTCTCAGTGACTGGCCTTGAGTGAGGGGTTTCCCCTTGGATGACATGCTGATTCACCCAGGCACGCTTCCTGCACGTGGCCAGCATAAAACAAAACTCAATGCAAAAAAAATTGAGCGTTCCGCGATGAATGAGAGTGAAATGGCTGGCGTCGAGGAAATTTGCCCGTATGTCCAGCTCTGTGGACTGTTCAAGGTGCCGTAGCGTTGGATATGTGACTGCTGTGATGTTGAATTTGAGCTGTAGTTACTCTGCTCGTGGGGAGCTTTCCAGGAAGCCTAAGATTATGGAAATCCAAAAACGAACACCAAAGTTATGCCCAAAATAAGGTAAAGAATATGTCGCAATTGCAGTTGCATACAATTATCAGGATAATTTGGGGCTCCAAAGGGTTAATGGCTATCCATGTTGGTCTCTCATTCTCTCTCTCTCTCTCTCTCTCTCTCTCTCTCTCTCTCTCTCTCTCTCTCTCTCTCTCTCTCTCTCTCTCTCTCTCTCTCTCTCTCTTGCTTCTGTACTCAGGCCATCTCGTGAGGAGTGGCAAAAGGAGCGCTCTATGAACATTGAGACGTTCGGTGTTGGCAGTGTCCGACGGGGCCGAGGTCGTGGACGGGGTAGAGGCCGAGGAGGCAGGGGACGCGGTCGAGGAAATTACCAGAGGGCGCAAGATGTGTAGATGCACGGATTGTTGACAAGCTACCAGATGCTGACTTATGGCACCTTGGACTTTCTGCTGTCACCACACTGAGCTTCTGAATTCCTGTCTTTGAGGTGAATTTATTACGCGCACATTTTTGAATAAGACTGGGCACGTAGAGTTCTTCCTTTGGTTAATTGAGTCCACTGATGTGATTGAGTGAGTGGTGAGCCTGTCACTTTTTTCATTCAGGTAGCAGTATTCATTTTTAGTTGTATAGACAGTGTGCTTCCGAATAACATTATAGCTCTGTATGGGACATGTGAGAATGTGATGAGTGTGATTGCGTTTGTGTGCTTCCCTTGCCTCTTTCTTTTTATTCATGCATGCTTGTTGCTTCATACTTGCTGGCTACCTACAAACATGGCTTATCTGTCTCATACATACTAACACAGCGAATGCTGCCCACATCGTCATCGCCTTAACGGTCATACTGTACCTCATTTCCAGAAAAAAACGCTCATTCTAACGTCACTGTACATATGTATGCACTAACACAAGGTGGCATGTGCCACCATTACATGCCACCATTTCCTCCCAATGGAGTGAGTCCAGCGCTGCTGGTCTAACATCATTCTCTTTTCGTTCTTTTTTCTTCTTCAAATGTTGTTACTTCCAGCCTTTTCTTGGCTGTGTTTTTGTCATTAGCTGTTCTTTCTCTTTGCCTGCATTGTTGTCGTCTGGATCCTTTAGAAATTGCGAGCGCATGTTCTGCCTGCCATGCTATGGCCACTTGTGTCTTGATTGCTTTCTTCTAGTATTTTTTAGTTTTTTTTCTGCTGATATCCTGCTGGGGCTTGTGCCACTACGTTTACAAATTGTACTTTGAGTATTGTGTACATTAGGACTTTCAAGACGTTTGTTTTCTCAACACATGTTGTTCCTGTTTATCCATGTTTTTCGTTTGTTTTGTTTTTCCGTTCAACATCTATGCGGTAGCGTCTGTCTTCTCAGCGCAGTAGAATCAAATGTGATCGTCTTTGCACTGAAGAATATGCTTGCTGCATTGTACTGTAGTGATATCCCTGTACGGTTTGTGCAAGGTTACAAACCAGTACGGCACTTGCAATAGTGACTTGCTCGTGCAGGTGCAGGATGATACAAGCAAGACAAAGTTCACGTAGCACCACACTGCACGGTGTTTGTTCACATCTGCACATTCTTACTTAGTCTTAGTGCATACTGGTGTACACAGATTATTTCACATTTCTAGTTTTGTCACCTCTGTTTCGCAATCTTATTGATTTACCAGGGAGCTGCCTCGCCATGAAGTGTGTGTGAAATGAATGAACTACAGTACTCGGACTGCTCGATGAAATCCGATCGAGCAAGTGAATGCCACGCCGGACGCTGTGGAGCGCTACTGCAAACCTGCAAACCCTGGGATAGTGTACCGTGCTGGTGCTGAGTGCCACTTGAGTGACGCGATCGGATTTCATAGAGCACGACTTGCAATCATACGTTTCTACTCGTACGCTCCCATGGAGGTTTGCTATCCACGTCTTCCGCAACATAGAAGACGAGTACCTTTCCTACAAGGCTGAGCAGATGTGGTGCTTAGTGATCAGAGCTCCCCTGGTTGGGTATGCGCTTGCACCCCCCCCCCCCCCCCCCCCCATAGAGCACTATTCAAAGCGAGAACTGCAGGCACTTGCAACCATGGTTGCAGAAACTCTACTTCACGAAGTAGAAAATCTAATTGTTTGAAAAAAAATACTAGACTACACGGTAGTGTATAAAAAAAAAGTCCAACATATAACACCAACAGATTTGCAGTCAATTTGGAACTATACAATCATGTTTTTGATGGATGGAAGTGGCTTTATAACAGTCAGATATCAAACTTAGCTAGTTGCGCTATTTTGTAAAGATTTCCCATGTATTAAAGTAAATTCATTATACTATTTTCCCTGTCATGTTGGATGAATGATTGCCTGCTAGGATATATGAAACTTGCCATGACATAGCACCAGTCTATGTATAGCTCCGAAAGAACATTCTGATGGCATCAAACTTGAAAACTAGATTGTGGTGATGTCACATCAGCATGCATGCCTGATGATTGGTCAGTTCGTGATGCATCATTCTCCTCACTTGTAGTTTGGAAGAGGAAAAGCGCTTCATCCAACTTGTAGTAGGACACACTAAGGTCCCCTTTGCTCAGATACGGTGCCCGACTGAGGGTGCGTAGTTGAAAGCCAGCGGGTTCGAAGAACTCTGCAACAATCTTCTCCACATTCTCTTCCCAGTGAGTACTAGTACATGCTGGCAAACGCTCAGTAGCGTCGGCCATCTTTGGCCCTTGAGCAAAGAAAGCAACCAGAACGGACATACACACATACTTGTACTTGTAAGCAGTTCGTGACAATCAAGGAAAGCGATATAGGGAGGAAATATCCCTGCTGATTGCTACATGTGTCAGAAAATGGCTTGCTTGCCCAGGCCTACGACTTCAACGGAGCATGTCAATATTGTAACTACACGTAACACTACTGCGAACTAAGCTCAACATACCTTTCTCGACACACTGCGAGAGAGGAAACACCATCCCGACCAAGAGGAAGCCACCAGGCAGGATGCTTTGACGAACGCGCCGCAGAAGAGTTTGCGGTTCCGAGCAGCGGTCCAATAAGTTGAGGCAGGACACAACATCAAACATGCGATCTCCCCATTCATCCTCTTCCAGTACACTGCAGGCAATAAAAGCATTGATACATGTACATGGGTGTAGTACGCAATGTGTCACAGTATTTTATACTTTGATCTACACGTACAGTTCTCAAACAGCAATGGTGTAACCAAGTCCTTATTTGTCGTGTTACTCAGGGTTTCGTGTCTGAACAAAAAACACTCATCAGACGGCATAACAAAGAAGGGGACAGAGAAGGGGGCAGAGATGACAAGGCCATAGCCGTTTGAGAGTTATATTACTGGCTTTGTCCACTGGACATTGTGCACTATACGTAGCCTCCGGATCTTCGACATATCAGTATTCTATACTTTGATGTAGCAGTGAAGTTTTACTCACCCCCCCCCCCCCCCCCCCCTCTTCTATTCCCCGCATGTATTTATTAGATTTTCCAAAGGCCAATGGATGAGAGTTCTACATGGGAGTTCTGCAATGTACGAGTTGCACAGCCAGCAGGCAAGACTTGATAACACCGCCCAACTCCTAAAATAAGATCCCGGAGCAGTCCAGGCGGTGGGCCATTCCTGCAGCATTTCACTACAGTGCCCGCTACCACCCTAGAATCGCCACCAGTACTATGGGGCTAAGAGCTATAATCTCTGGGTCATGGCCCTCACTACCTCATGCTTCATACCCCAGCTAGCTAGCATGATTGAAGTACACTGTATTGATTGATAACATAGACTGCGGCTGGGAGAAATGTTCAGGACAATGTCTTCTACACATGTTCATGTTTCAACCTCCAGGCAGGTTGTTGCCTAAACTTACGTGAAATTGGCTCGCTTCAGCCTCCATCGCATTGTTGGCGATTGTTCGGTAGCATATACATGATGAAAGAGGGGAGCAAGGTGCTTTGTGACCTCACCATCCCCAGCTCCTACATCCAGCAGACTGCCAAACTTCTGCTGCGTACTGGGCATGCCCGCTTGGTGAAAGAGTCGTGACGCCTGATTGGTGGAGAGTATGTACATGGACCCACGCCCCAGTAATCTACAGTAAGCAAGTACACACACACACACACACCTCAGACCTCAGACATGCCCATCGCGGAAGCGATGATAGCGAACAGCCATGTTAGACACAGCAACTTGTGCTGGGATTACACCGTTCAACAGCTTGCAAGGCTGATGAATTGACCGCCACTATTTTTAGCCTGCACACACACACACATACACACATACATACACACATACATACACACACACACACACACACACACACACACACACACACACACACACACACACACACACCTCAGACCTCAGACATGCCCATCGCGGGAGCGATGATAGCGAACAGCTATGTTAGACATAGCAACTTACTTGTGCTGGGATTACACCATTCAACAGCTTGCAAGGCTGATGAATTGACCGCCACTATTTTTAGCCTGGTAGTATCCACCACACAGCTGTTTGAAGTGACTTTTTCTGGCCAGTGAATCCCTATTTTCCATTTTTCCATTTTTTTCTTTTTCTTTTTCTTTTTTTTTGTCTACACACACACCACACCACATACTCCGGCATACACTGGCTGTTGGTAACCACCCAGGAGAATGAAAGAAAAGTCAGGAAGAGTCTGAGAAAGACACACACACACACACATACACACACACACATACATACACACATACACACACACACATACATACACACACACACACACACACACACACACACACACGCATACACACACTGTCACATACACACACATACACACATACACACACATGCATATACACACACACACACACACACACACATACACACACACATGCCCACATACATACATACACACACACGCATACACACACACACATACACACACACATACACCCCCACCCACACACACCCCTCCCCCGCCCCCACCCCTCCCCGCCCCCGCCCCCCCCCCACACACACACATACACACACACACACACACACACACACACACACACACACGCATACACGTAATATTACACATGTTTACATTGCATTGATATAATTCTACGGATGGCACTGGCCATTTGCTTCATGTGCGATTCTATTCATTTCACTGCGCAGCTGCGACTTTGACATTTGCCATCACAGGGCTGCCATAGCAGCTATTGGAGGCATCCAAAAGTAAGAACATGTACAGTAGTTTGTCGTTATCTGACAGAAGGAGTACTGTAAATATACAAATTTTCGGCAGCTATTTAATTTCGGCTATATTCGGCACCGATCCAAAACGCCTAAATTAAAACGCCGATGAAATTTTTACAGCATCTGTCGCACTATACCATGCCCTCTACCCCACGCCGAAAATAAATCGCCGCCGAAATGTCAAAAATCGTGAAGTGCCGAAATTTCGCAGCGCCGAAATTTTGTATATTTACAGTACTTGAACAACGTAGGTGCCTTTTGCCTCTGCTCTATTCACATGGCTAGTTTCCCCAACTATTTCCTCATCTATAATTGTAGTACTAGTCTACAGCAAATGTCCACTGTAAACCCAGTTTATACTTCGTTCCGCGCACATAAGAAACTCAACACTCTCTGTGGAGAAAAAGTTGACTCGAATTGAACTCATTTGCCCCAGTGCGCAACCGCCGCTATACGCATTGCGAAGCGTTTCCCCATGCAAAGTGAAGAACATGTATAAATCAGGTGTGATGTTAAAAGGGTTGGTTAATAAAGCCACATCATGTGCATATGGTTCAAGTGTCATTAGAGCATGAACAGCACTGCCAAGTAAGAACAAAATGTACCAAAATGCTACGAAAGGATTTTCCAGTGGAGCGTGTATTCTTTGTTTGTTCAGTTCATGGGGCAGTTATGGTCTTTCGGTGACGATAAGGGAGTAGCAAAACATGGTAAGTTTCACTCCTTCATGGTAAAAATTTCACTCCGTCATGGTAACTACATGCATTACAAATACTTATGAGAATGAAGTTGAAGACACCAATGCAGCTGTACTTGTGGTTGATTCAAATAACTCTGCAGCCGAAATACTTATGAGAAGTGAATTTTCCGAAACAGGTGCCTTGAGTATAGTGTCTACTACTACTTTCTAGTTGCAAATCGAAGATTCAATGGGCTTCCCACGTGTTGTGAGTGGCGGTGTGAGTCAGTCAAGTCCAGTTTCTGCAGCAGAAACTAGGAGAGCTTAAGGATCGAGCAAACGTACCCTGGTATTAGATTCCTATGCAATCAAATAATATGGAACGGAGGGGAGGGTATTGCCGTTTTGTGCAAAAAGCAAACACTGCAAACAATCGTCTGACCTGTCAGCTAATGTAGCAGAGAGCCTTACCCGTTTATAGAAGTTCTGGACATGAATGGAGACAGTAAGGTCAACAAAATGCTGTACAACAACTGGAGGAAAATAGCTGAGGCCTCCGAGCAGCTGAGGCGCACGAACTCCTGGCATCCTTCATCACAGGCCAGGGGATACCAGGCTTGTGCCAAGGTAGTGTTCAGGTTTTCTAGAGTACATTGGTACAGCTGTACAATTAGAAGTACACACACACACGCACACACACACACACACACACACACACACACACACACACACACACACACACACACACACACACACACACACACTGCTTCATTCATGCTGTCAGGTTTTGCTTGCCTGCACTGTACTACATGTAGTCCTGCAGTACTGTCAAGCGAAGTGTTCACCCTCGTGAATATAATAGCCGCGCGTGCTACACGCAACTAGCACTACGGACTCTGTGCTGTTCACTCGAATGCGGTGCTGCCTTGCTCATGCAGGCAAATTCCACCAGCCAGGCCTGTACCCTGCCTGTGATGCAGTGTGTGTTCAGCAGGGCCGGAAGTGAGGGCTGGAGATGAAGATCTACAGTAAGATCGGGCGCTGAAGAACGCAGGGGCTCAAGGCGCAGCCTGGCATTGTTCTAAAATGTTCAGATTTTAGTCGTTTTGTTCTTTTTCCGCGATCATGGAGAGCATCATGCGATGCGATCACACCACGTATACAGCAGTACATGACTGTGTTCTTAGATCTGCAAATCTAGCCTGGATTGTTCTCCAATTTGTGCCATTTTCCAGCCTAAGTGTTCTTCGGCGAAGTGTTCTACGGCGCCCGATCATACTAGTAGTGTTAAACTTATGTTATGATGCATGTTACGTATGTCACAAGTTGTATGCCTTTGAAGAACCTCTCTCCTACCTCTCTTGGGGGTGGTGCTGCACAGGACGCTAGGCATCCGGGGCCCGATGCCTGACGATACAGATTGCGGGCCAAAGGTGTTCTAAGCATACTTAGAACACTATTTTGATAATGGCAGGGCTCGCCAAAGAACTACATAGATCTTTGAACTTACAGTGTTGTCACGAGCTTGCAAAGCACATCATGCACAACAGCAACAAGTGTTACAAAATTCAGGTTTGTTTACACGATCGACCAGGAAGTAGATCTGTGATCTAACCTCTACTCTTGCTGTACTCCTTAGCCCTGGCTATGTTCAGTGTCCTTGCATACGAAAATAGAGAACTGTCTTCTTGGAGAAGAAAATAAAAATAATCGATCTCCGCGCCACGTGTGAAGGGATTTTCCCAAAATAAAAAGTGGATTGACATGTGCATGTGCATCCATCAAATAAAAAAATTGATCAGCTGACATGACATGACAGCACGCTGAGTACAGTGCAAACTAGACTGCCAAGACAACAACAAAAATCAAAAAATGTCATGCCACGCCATGCATGCCAGCGATCATGCACCGCTGCTCTACATAGCTAGCTCTCCGCATACAGCATGCTGCACTGGTCTTTCATTGTTTCAAAAAATTAGTGGTTTGCAAATCCAGCATTTGTATTGCTCGAAGAAGCTTGGAGTTGGAAGATCCACAGTCAGCGCCACCTGTACCTGGTCGATCCCCTAGCTGTAGTGTAGGCAAAGGTCTGCTCCAGAAAGGATAGTGAAATATTATTAGTACAGATACTTTGTTTCTCAAGCTCGGTGCATGTGGGCGACCATAATTATAACGACAAATCCTTTCAGGACCTTCTTCAAGCACCCATTACGAATTGCCTCGCGCTGTTAACCTACTGCGTTGTGCGTGGGCCACGTTTCCACTTGTGCTGCTCCGCATCCGACCAAGTCAGTGCTACTAGTATTGAAAAGCTCTGACGCTTCTTGTGTTCGATTTTGCTTTTCACGCGCACGGTGGAGCAGTATCGGTATTCTCTCCTACTGTTTGTTGGATCGCGCCAGCACTAGTAAATTGGCGCAGGAAACAGGAAACAATGGATTTAGCTGAAAAGGTGAAGCGTTATGGCGCTCGTCTGTCTAAGTTTCCATCTGCTCTGGTGGACGTAAGTGAAGTTGAGCGGAAAGAATATTGTTGCGCGCTGGTTCATAGAACGTTGTTGTTGATATTGGTGATGTGTTTCAATATTGTTTTCTGCGCGTGTAGGAGAAGGAAGCCCTGCGTTGCTTGGACGAACTCAACAAGATTGCCATGACCACTACTGTTCTAGAGGTACGTGAGGTCGAATGAGAGGTACTACTAGTTGATTTACAACAAATAATTGAGCCTCTGGATCCAAAAAAGGGGGCCTCTGTAATTTTTGAGTATTTCGAGTTATCTGTAACATGACATAGCTGCCATCCAGCAGATCACTGTGCAAAAGACCTCAATCAAAAATCTTCATCTTTCACAGAGTTATGGGTGTTTGAATGAGTGCATTTACATCGCTTTTTATGGAAAACTCAACTTTTTAGTTTGACAGCATATTACAAGGCGGCGGAACACCGTGTTCAGAAACAGTGCCCCTTACTACAGTGCTGGCAACTGAAATCCAAGGGGGTCGGATTTCAGTTGCCAGCACTGTACAACCATCCACGGGTGGTAGGGTCTTGTGACCATCTGAGCTGCATGGGTGCTAGACCCGGTTCTGACCATGCTGTTCCACTGCCTTGTAATATGCTGTCAAACTAAAAACGTGTTTCTACTTGGTCTGGCTCATCGCAATTGTCGCTTATCTATCGCCACTAAGAACAGGAGTTTTTTTACCGCTCTGTGAAATTTCTAGTAGGCATAGTGAGGAAGTATGATACAAGAATACTCTCCGCCACAAGAAAAAAATTTCAGCAATGGAATCAGGTGAAGCGAGTCGAAGAAAGGAAGCAAGGTAAGCAAAATGCACGAAATAAATCCGCGAAGGAGCGCGTTCTTGCACTCACACTCTTACAGGTCCAGAGTTCATTCAACTCTGCATCACTCAAGCTGCCGCGCCGTTACATGAGTTGACATTTGCTGGTGTCTAGCTGCTGGCGTAGACGGAGTATCTCTTGCTTTCTCACTAAGGCTGTCGTATGGCAGCAATGGGAAAGGAACAGCTGTGGCTGTCACTTCGGTGCTTGAAGGAACCGTGGGCAGTGTGACCTGTGTGTCTCCACAGCGTGTTTCAACAAAGCCTTCGAGGCACACGACTCTTGTAACGCTGCTGCTAGGTCCACCAAGCAAGGAACAACAACCGTCGGCCCTGCGCATCGCATCAAAAACACCTTTCTTCTTCAGCATGACGCTCATGCGGCTCGTACTCCTCCGCTGTGCACGCGTGCCTGTCACGCTCTCCAGGATGTCAGTTGCCCCTGCCACAGTTCCGGTCTTTGGGTCACTGCGCGCTTGGCTTTTGGCAACACAGACAGTGAATGGCCAGATTCCCACTTCCCAACAAAGTCGAACACATCGCGATTCAAAGTGCTAGTCGCGATCATTTTTCTTTGGTGCCTCCTTTGATCTTGCCATCACAACCTCCCAAGCAAAAGTAAGTTAGATATCGTGATCGGACTGGGTTTTACCTGTCAAAAGGTGCGTGGAAGATAAGTGACAATTGCGATGAGCCGGACAAAGTACAATACAAGATTTATGTAATACCAAAACTCAACTTTCAACTGCATTTTTCACAATAATTATGATCTGGAGGCTCAATTGGTACTAGTGCTATGGCTCTGGTTCGACCTATCGTTATCATGCCCTTAGCATCAGAATCCCCTTTCTATTTGATCACTTTCCTTGGAGGCGATTTACACGACGACATGATTCATCCCCTGTGCGATGCTACCATGCAGATTCAGTCACGTGAGCTCAAATGTCGGCGCCACTAACACATCCCACGAGCTATCCCTGCACGGTCCTGGTACCGTGTGGTGGCTGGGGGTGAAAATGGTACCCCGTGGCATTCCGTGGGCTGTTTTGTAGTGCAGGTAGTGCACGTGAATCCGGCCGTGTGGATCAATTTTCGTTTTTCCCGCGTCACGGCAAGCATGAGTATTCTGATAGCTTGTTTGATTTGGCCATCTGGACGGAAGTGCTGCATTATGTTTTTTTGGTGTCTATTCTGCTTTCCTACCACTGTGATGTAGGACACGAAGATTGGACGTACCCTGAATGACATTCGCAAGGGATCAGCCGTAATGGAAGCTAGTGCATTGGTATGCAAGCAGTGCAAGGATACAATTCGCCGCTGGAAGTCCCTTGTCACAAGTGGTGAACTGCCGAAAGCACCTCCTTTGAATATCAAGCCAGTGGTGCCAACTCCATCACTTCCGACTAGTCCACCCGCCAAGTCGTCGAGCAAATCACCGCACACCCCATCAGCAAGGTAAATATTACAAGTACGAGAACTTACGAGAGCTACATTCCAAAATTCAGCAATCGATATACCATAATGTCGCGTATTAACCCTTTGACTGCTGACCCCGTACTATTACGGTATCCTAGATGACGCCCAGGCTCTGAGCCCGTACTATTACGGGATGACTGTACATCGCGTATTGATGAGAATTTACAGGTCGCGCGTATGTTCAAATGATTGTAACTCCGTATTCTTACTCTATTCTGACAATTGAAATAATATTATGTAGGTCGAAGAGAAAGCTCTCAGCTTGCGATTACAACAATCTCTCAGGTGCTGGTTAACACTCAGCAGGAAAACACTGCACAATGGCTTGAGAGCGAAGGAAAAAACTTCTTGAGGTAAAACAAATTTGAACTTGCGATCTTGCACCAGCGCGCCCCAGTCAAAGTGATGCCGTGAGCATTGGAAAAACGACAAGCGCAGGTGATGAGACTTTTGGTTGTCACCACTTGGCCTTATAACTACGTGTAACTACGAGCAGGCAGCGTGCCATAGGCACTTCGACAGCCTATTGAGCGGTAGAGTCGCGGACATGTTCAAAAAAATCGAGCTCAATGCGAGCAAGGAGAGTCGAATGGCGGCTGAAAGCAAACTTTCTTTGAATTGTGCAACTGCGCGACGACTTTGGGACAACTTCGCTTGGCTCTAGATCTGGTCTCTATACACCAGTTTCATCACATAGCTGTAATTATAATGGCTTCCCCGGGTGCATCCTTGTGGGCGTTATCGTAAAAATAAACATAAATCCACCTCACTACTTCCTCCGTTAAGCAAAACTTCGTTGCGTTTTTACAGTTCAGTCCAAATCATTCTATGGCTACGAACACGCTTTGCAAAGTGGAAAACAAGGCAGGATATGAAAGATAGTTATTTACAGATGTCACACAGCTCGTTTCAAAGCAGTCCAGCTTCACTCTTCGTCTGAATCTGATGACGACTCACTCCCTGATGACATCGAGTCTGCATCCTCGCTGACTGTCGTCGCCAGCGCTGCCAGCTTTTGTTCCGCAGCCTTTACAAGTTTCCAAGACACGATTATTTTGATCATGGAGATCGCCAAGTTCTTCGCTCGAACTGTGAGCTTGACGACCTCCACGGTGGCGCTGGTAGTTGTGGCTACTCTCCGGAACGCCATGGAAGGAGCCATAAAGACCCAAACAAACGCTCTCCATCTTCGCAGCGGTGTAGTCGTGCCAGCACGTTTCCACACCCTGCAGAAGCTCCTTTCTGGTTTCCTTCGCCACGAGTGGCACGTCTGTCTACAGGCTGTGGAAGAATGCCAAGTCGTCGACGTTGAGATCAGGATTTTGCGCCGACTGAACGACAACCTGAATGTCGAACGCTTTTGATTTCCCCTGCGCTGCAAACACAAGTGCATTGATTTTGGCTGTGTGCGGATGCGCACTATCGACTCGTGCTACAGTGTAGTACAGCAGTGCATGAGCGCTGGCCGGCTCCTAGACACTTCTTCGAGCCACTCTGTCTTTCAAACTGGTTCTAATTTTCGCACTTTGGTGTCATGCACGCGCACCTGGGGTTGGGTGACATCCTGTCGAGAAACGGTTCTGCTTTGCCGATTTTTTCAAAGGACTCCACAGCTTTTCAGAGATTCAAAAGCCTGTCAGAACAATGGACGACAACTCAGCTACCCTATGTAGGGGATAGATCACTGACATGTATGTCTACTGCCCACAGAAATATCATGACAAGAACACTAAAAACGCAACGAAGTTTTGCTTAGCGGAGGAAGTATCAATATTATCAAGAGTACAGTAAAACCTGTAACTAACGACCACTGTGACTAGCGACCGGCCTGGTACTACCGACCACTTCGTCAGGCACGGACGGTCTCACATTCAAAATGCACTGTGACTAGCGACTACCTGCTGAACGCGACCAGCGACCGCCTTTTCTTGTCCCAATGTCGAATTTTGACCCGTAACTAGCGACCGCGATGTAGGAAATCAAACATTGCTCGAAGCTCCTTCTCGAAATGTTGATGATTTTCCATGATTCTGAAAGGACTGTTTCGATACTACAGCTGGACAAATGAACGCAGTCTCATTTTGACTGTGGAATCAGTGTGGACTGCACTACACCTGTCATAATTTCAAGTGCTGTCAAGAACAAACATGATAGGAAACGTCTTGGAGAGCGCATCCAAAGCGCTCTTTGATCGATGTTACTACTCGAAGGAGAAACTAAGACTGAGCGGCTCTCTGTCGAAGTGCAATCACACAGCTCAGTCACCAGGTCACACTGAGTCCACAGAAGTCAGAGAAGTATCCGGCAAAGAAGCACTGTCCTGCATCTCAACATTGCAACAGTTTACGTTGCAGCGTGGCTTGTCTACCATGGCAATGGATGTAGAGAAACTTGGTGCCTTCATGAACAAACTTGAAGCCCGGCGCAAAGAGAAGCTTCAATAGGGAACTCTTGACTCCTGGCTTCAGAAGTAGGAGCTGAATTTAATGTCTGTAATAAAACTTGATTTTCTTTTTCTCCAAGTGTTGTATGATCTGAAAGAAGAACGTCAGTGCGCAAGTGGTGGGGGATTGTATTATCTGCATTTTGACATACATATCATATAATGGGATCCATATATGGTCACGTGGTGCAAACCTCTAACTAAAGACCACCTGCCACTAAAGACCACTTTTCCGGGCACCAAGGGGTGGTCGTTAGTTACAGGTTTTACTGTACATAACCCCCCAGAGTGTGCAACTCCGATCCAGCTCTGCATAGGGTCTTGGTCGAGCGGAATCGGATCTTCTGATGTCATGCGTACACTCCACACCAGCGCAAGGCCGGTCTCGAGGCAGGGCACCATTGCTTTTGATCCGAGAATACCCGCGACTCCCCGGGTTCCCCTCAGATGTGTACGGTATTATGACGCAAAGATCCGATTCCGCTCGACCAAGACCCTATGCAGAGCTGGATCAGGCGTTGCACACTCTGGGGGGTTATGTACTCTTGATATTATTTGATCCTGAAGATGTCCCTGGCCGAAACACTGTAGACAGTCCAGTGTTTGAAGTACTGCAGACGGTCCAGTCTTTTCTCAGCATTGGCTTGTCTGTGTGAGTGGCGTGCACCCGCAAGCACGCTGTGCTGCTCTATGTTTCCGTAACGCTCTTGTAAACCACTGGAGCTCGCACTTCAACTTTATATATTTTTTCTTGCTTTGCTTTGCTTGTAGGTCTCTGGAACAGCGGCCAAGTAAAAGTCATGGTCAAGTCTCATCGTCCTCAGCTTCCTCTCAAGATGGCACTGTGATCACGAATAGATCAAACTCTTCACCCACCGCCCTGACGTCGCCAGCTACCGCCTCCTCCGCACCAAGGAAGCAAGCTGGTCCCATGGCACGCTCGTCTTCAACACAGCAACTACTCTCCACGGGGAAGAGACGTGCACATGCACCTGCCAAGATCGAGTCGCCCAGCAAGAGACCTTGCTTCGATCCGGTATGCATTCTCAGTGGTATGAATATCACTCAATACCTTGTATCATGGGCGTACGCACCATACTACACCTCCTTTTGTGAACAATGTGCCTGGTAGATGTCAGTGCCTGTTTTGGGGTGCTGGATATGGGTATTTTGAATGCAGTTGCTTTTTCCGTTATTGTATGCGCTTTGCTAGACCACTCCGGATACGCCATTGTCTCCACCGAAGACTGCGTACAAGCCGCAACCCCCACCACCGCCTCAGTCACGTGACCTCGCAAAGCGGCCAGCAGCATCTGGTAAGACTATCAAATACTTAGCACCAAGAGTACATAACCCCAAGAATGTGCAACTCTGCATAATGGAGTTTGGCGCGGCGCGCTGCCTGCATTGCGTAGCCGCGAAATGTGGGCCAGTGCGTTCTTATTAATCTGCTACGGTTTCCTGCTTCCAAATCCGCTTTCCTCGGAGATTTCGGATAGTTTTGTATGTGATGCATCACGCACAGGCATTGCCTTTGAACTTACCATATTGCACGTGATATCGTTGAGGCTAAACCGTAGGAATACTCAAATCCAGGCAGCTGGATCGTCATTTCACTACGTAATGAAGGCAGCACGCCGCGCAGGGCACCCATAGCTCGGAGATCATGAGTTGCACACTCTTGTTAGTACTGCATGGTAATTTACATGGTGAATTATGGGCGCTGTCCGCCTACATGTATTCTGATTTACCCGCTCATCTACGCACTCGTTAACTTTTTCCTGAGCACATTTGGCTCCCCGCAGCAAGGTTTGGAAATGTTCACCAGCCTTTCGGATATTATCAGGGACGTTTAGCAACGCGGGGCTGTAAATTTACTACTCCCAACCGTCAAGTGCATACAGAGGAAAGAGAAATAATTTTCGCAAATCACTGCAACTTCGCGTCCAAGTTTTCGAAGTTTCGACCTTTGTTTCTGTACTCATTCTCAGACTCGAGTTTTCTTTCGAACTTTCGCGTTCCTAAACGTCCCTATTATGAAAGAAGAGCAACTGCAATTTTTAGAACATGATAATTATCGGTTTTCACTTTTCAGTGGGGCTTCAACTATTGCAGAATTGCAAAACTGACAAAGGTACTTGAAGTACAAGATTGATGACTGGGCCGTACTCTAATGCATGCTAATAGACTCCTGACAGAGTTACCCAATGTGGTGTGCTTTACAGTGCTATACTGTAAAAACGATAAACGTTCGTGGCGCGCAAATTTAGCGTTTTCATGAATTGTGCTGGTTCACGATGAGAAACCTTTGCGATTGTATCTCTTCAGTTGGACCGTATACTGTCTACGATCATGTACAGAGCAGTTTGCGGCAATTTATATTCGTGAATGTGTGATGGTCACGAAAATAGCGAAATTTAATCTCCAGCGAAAGTTTCTCACTTTACAGTATGTGTATAGAGCGCTTTGAGACGTAGCACATGTGGTCTTTTCACAGGATCTCCATCTCCACGGTGTGTCTCAAAGCGCTCTATACACATACTGTAAAGTGTGTGCTACTTTCGATTGCCCTTCTGATTAATGCTGTGTGGGTGTGGGTGTGCGTGTGTTTGTACATTGCACATGTGATGCCTGTGTGCTCAATGCTCCCAGTTTTGGACCAACGTGATCTGGACACCAGCATTGGACAACGTGCACAGAACACACACACCATATACTCTGGCAGAAGACGAGGAGGTAATTTCCGAATGGAATCCGTCATGATCAGTTGATCATCTTCATTGCTGTGTTACCTGTTTTGTTTTGAAAGATGCGGGCTGTTACGCATAGCAGGACCCACTGACATTGTCGTAACCCTAGCTCTCTGTATAAGTGCAACTGGGCTTGAAGACATGTACTTTAGTGTTGTAACTTAGACGTTGAGCTCATCATTGATTCCCACTACAGTGAAACGCTGCAGTATAGCGTACCTCTAAGGGACGCAAAAAAAAAGTCAGTACTTCAACAGCTGAGAGGTATTCTACTTCAAGTATATCCAACTTGATATGATTGGCAAAGGATGCGCGGGGTCCTCAAAGGAAATAATTTTTATTCAATAAGAAAGGTATCTACCGTGTGCTCTTGGAGCTCTGTCACTAGTGACATCCTTGATGGTTTCCCCAGACGATGTCCTCAGCATTGTCTACCTACAGCTGCTTAGCAGCGCAAGCAGTTGTATACTCAAAGGACACAGGCCTTGGCGTGTGCAACTCCCACATGCAATGCTTTCCCAGCTGAATTCTGTGTTGGCGCGAAATTTATGTTTGCATGCCCGGCGTACCCGTGTATCAGACATCCATGTAAAGGTACCAGCATGCTACATGTGGCAGCCCGTGCAAAGATATGCAGGGCTGGATTGCGGAATGCTCATGAGGATGTCTGCATACATTCATGCCACAAACAGAGCGTCAGCTTGTGTTGAGACAGCACTGCACATTCAGGCTAGGTATTGCAGTCTCTACGACGGTATTTTTTTCGATTACCGTAAAGTTCCGGCTAAAAGCCGGGCTTATAAGCACATAAGTAGGGATATCAGCGAACGCACTGCGCAGCCCATCTGCGCAGGTCGGCCTGGCCCATCTACGCGCGGCCGACAAGAAAACTCATGAACACTTTCATTTTTTTGCAAAATAAATCGTGCGAAGAAGATGCACGGAATGGCTGAAAACTAGGCTGAGGAAAAGTAGCACCCAGAGACTCTCAAACGAATTCATGGTCCATCGCTTCTGACAATGGCAGCGAAGACATCAATCAGGGAGCTGATTGCAGCAACTCTCTACCAAGCGCGACGCTGGTTACTCACCAGGGCAGGGCGCTTCCATCGCGCAAGAAATGGCCACGAGCGAGAAATGCAAGTCCGATTTTGGAACGATCCAACCAGGGTAATCCCTTGAAAATTGGCCTGAACACCTTTCATACTGGTGTTTCACGATGTGCAAACTTCCAGAGAAATCGACCGGGGAGAACGTGGGTCCTCCGTATCGCGTATGATTTGAATGGTCGCGGGGACAGAAGAACAGTAATTTTACGACTCCCAGCGGGGCAAACAGACCGCGGCCATGTTTTCTCTGTCGGCCGCGATCACATTCAAAAAATCGATGACGCAATGCATGCGCAGAGGCCTGCGCAGTGCGTTCGCTGACATCCCTAACATAAGCCGCTTTCTGCATCAGGCTTTAATGCAAACCAGGCTTATATGCACCACTGATATTTTTGCCAGGCTTCTACGCGCGACACGCGTAGATGTACCACTGACTACCGGTATGGCGGCAGTTTTACTATGCACCGTACATAGCGCATGCACTCTTGACCCACCCGATCCGCGCTTGCATAGAAGCCAGGCTTCTACGCGCGACAGGCTTATGCATTTGACCGGTTTGATTTTCAGGCTTCTATTCGCGATGTGCTTGTATGCAAACCCGGCTTCTATTCGCTATGTGCTTGTATGCAAACCTGGCTTCTATCCGCTATGTGCTTGTATGCAAACCTGGCTTCTATCCGCGATGTGCTTGTATGCAAACCTGGCTTCTATCCGCGACTTTACGGTATTTTATTCTTGTTTGTTTGGATGTGATGCTACGTGCAGGCCGCTCGTTGCCAACTCTCATGGAACTGTCCATGCAAGTGCTTATCGACAACATTGACTGTACGTACCAATCTGGGTGCTCTCTTTTCTCTCATGTCTTCTTTGTATGCAAAGACGATAGCTGTTGCTCATACTGCAAGCGTACTGATGATGACTCTGCTGAGCTGGGTTGGCCTGCGTGTGTGGTGGATCATGTGTATGTGCTGTTCACTTCGGACACACGTGCACATCCATCCACAGACAGAGACTGATCAGCTTAGCCTCTGAGGTACTGCTGTAACGTTCTGTTGTATGTCCTTTCCTGCTTGGCAATGGTTGTGTGGCGCAAGGGGAAAGGAATATAGTAGACAGGGAACGGGAGGAAAGAGTTGAAGTGGCACATCACAAACAACAAGCCTGCCATATCCCACAAGGACGGTAGGATGATGCCGATGATGATGATGACGAGGATGATGATGACGACAGCGATGATCAGGCCGATAACATTTATTATCTTCCTATCATCCTCTATGGAAAGGACTTGATCCTTACTGTGTTTATTTTTATTTCATTTCAACAGTCCAGCTGCATAGTATTGGCTGTGATGCTGGGAGGTTGTGGTTGTGCAAAGGGTGTGTTCTGTGAATTGCATTGCATGTTGGACATGTGCTTATGATGATAGAACTGAGCTTGGTTGTCTCGTGCTGCTAACTCGGTTTTTCTGAAGCCATCCATTACTCGGCATTAGCAGAATGTTTGTCACATCTTTGGTTACTGCAAACACCAGTTGTGCTCACTGAAATCTGCCCTGAAGTGCAAAACTGGCGCCCTTGACCAGTTCCGACTACACCACTGTACTTGTACATGTGTTTGTCCTGCCGCATTCGTACCACTTCTATGGGGTCCAGGGTCGTGCAAGTCGAGGTCGCCAAATTTGCACTTTGGGTCGAATTTCACCGAGTTCAACTGTACTTTTGGCCTGACGGGCGTATTTCAAAGTTGCTTTGCCACATACTGTAAAAGCCATATATATAATGAAGTGCTAACTCTAACGAGTTAACGAGGATAATCTGTCGTTAAAATAGAAATCGTTATACAGAAATCGTTACATATACTGTCCTATTGAGCGTTGAAAATAAGTGAGAATCGTTACCTTTGGTACACGTAAACCAGTCGATTTGGGGAAATCGTTATTTATGCGCCTCTTTAGAATAATGGCTTTTACAGTAGTCAAATATTCCACTGTAGAGCAGGGTCTCTTCTGGTTTTCTTGTGTTCATGTTCGAATGAAAGGATCTTATGATGTCTGAAAGGGGCAGATGTTGAGTGCAGAATGAAGATTAGATCTCTTCTGTTGTGCCAGCTCAAGCTCACGAAACGTATTAATATTATTTTAGTTGTTCACATGTAGTCTGCTCTGTCGCATGTATGCCTCTGCTCCCAGGCGTCGAGCAAACATACTTGCCGTATCATGTTATTTCGCCACTTCTTGAGAAGTAAGTGGAGCGTCCTCTTTCATTATTCACTGGACTTTGGCTGTGTGTTTGTTGGGGGGGGGGGGGGGGGGGGCCATTCCGCTGCAATCTACACCAGGATTCCCATGTCATTTCTGAACATGATTAGTTTCATTACCAGTTCCAAGCACTTCCTTGACTGACATGTACGTGCATGTATCTCTGCTGCTCAGTGTGAGCCATTGAGTTCACTCAAGACTGTGAGCGATTGAGTTCACTCAACACTCCATCCCAGATGATCTATCCGTGTGGAGTGTGTACGTGGGTGTAGTGATGGCCAGTGACACCCAACGCCTACTTTCCTTCAGTATCTCAGCATGGTCATGTGGTTTTATTTTGTGCTACTAGTACTAGTATGTTCCAACTTGTGGGCGTAGCTGGTCTCCCTTTTGGGGGGGGGGGGGGGGGGGGGTGCACAGCCACATATGTGTAGGATGGCTGGTGCATGTCACGTGCATGCCGAACCTATAGTCAGTTTCAAAAAGATTAGCAATCCTGGCGATCGCCCGGGGAGTTTGCCGTCTTACCGTATGAGCGCTGCCTGGAAAAACTCACTGTGAACTCGAAGAAATATTCCGCGCGAAAGCATGAAAAATGACAACTCACTGACGTCGGTACTCGTACTCGTACATGTTCGTCTGGTTTACAACAAACGAGTTCTTCCTCGCATCGATATGGAGTCAGAGAGGACATGTCGAAAGTGTGGTACATTTTGACGAGCGGGATGCGTCCGTTTTGTGACCAAATAGATTGTTTGAGCTGCCGCGGATGCAATTTACTCTCACGATGTGACGAAAACGGCATCAACACAGACTCATTCCCAAGGCCTTGAAGTGGCAAAGCTATCCGTGTGACTTCGACGACATTTTGAGAAAAGCAGACGCCTGTGAAAGCTGATAGAAGACGGCGTTGACTCCTAAATTCAAATAAATTGGCGATCTTCAAATACTAAAATAATTCTCAAACAGAAATCGATCGATCGATGTGCCGGTGTATTCAACAACACGTAGCTACAGCGCAATGACTTCCGTGTTCACTCACACGGTTTCAGTGTTGTGTGTGTTCACAACTCCACATGGCGTGAGCCAGTTAAGTGTCAGTCAGTTCGGCAGGAAACGCGAGCTCCAACAACAAGTCGTTTGGTTTGGCGCAGCCACCTTCTTTGTCTTGTACCAGCGTGATCACCAAAACAATGAAAAAATGTTTGACTTGAAGATTTGTTGGGAACTCACAACTTCATGGTCAGCAGACAGCATTCATAACCACAAGGCCAAAAAGGAAGGGATAAATCGTGGGTTTTTGGTAGCAAATCGATACTGGCTTCCAGGGCAAATTATAAACCATGGGAAAAGGCCAGAAACCTGGCCGAAATACTAACTCCTTAACGGTTGGTCCAATTGTTCCGAAACCTTCACAGAACAATTTGCCGTGTCCTAACAAGCCGTTTTATGTACTTTGTTGTCCAAATTTCCCTTATCTTCATACTTTTTAAGACCCAAACTTCAGCCCTCACCAACGCTGTACAAAGCGTCACTGGCCCGTTTCTCAACGGTCGCGCAAATCGACCAATCAGCGTACAGCTAATGTACCAAAATTCTCAAACTTACCGTAATTCCTTGGTTCATACGGTGTAGTTTCCAAAGATTTTTTATGGGCCAACGTCTTCTTTCGATAGATACCAACAGATCGTCCGCTTCGAATTTTTCGATTTGATTGCCGTTTGGCCGAAAATTACCTCCGAAACCGGCCTCCACTCGTTTCACTTCAAGGCTTTCCAGGTGGACGGCATCGCAATTCGGAAGCGGAGAAAGGATAGCCAGTGAAAAAAGAAAAACAACGACGTATTGGTTGTCGAAATCGACCAAGAAATGAATTCAATAGACCTGTTTCCGTGCTGCGCCCTCGCGGCCCGCGCGAGTGCGAAAGGGATTCTTTCTCGACAAAACAAACAACTACTAGTACGCGCAGTACACTGACATCACTGCACTGGCTGTATATACCTTAGGAATATCCTGTTCATTTCCAAGGCATGATTGTCGCTAGTGGGAGAACTCAGCCACCTGAAGCTTTCATAAAGGAAGAAGTAGTAGGTGAATGAGTTCGCCAGAAAATGGAACGACAAGAAAATAGATACTGTTGCTTTCCGGGGCGCTCATGAGACGACGGCAAGATAGGACTGAAACGATCGACAGTCTGCCTCGACGCAAAAGAAACTCTTCTAGGAGGAGCTCGACGTGCTGTAGAGTTTGCAGTATTCTGCTGGAAGAAGACAAGAGAACTAAACTCAGACTACAGCGTGGAGCTGAAGCACGAGCGAAGCAAAAGCTGAAGCAAAAGCTGAGCGAGTTCGAAGAAATGGGGAAACACAGGAAAATGAGTGGGCGACATGATCTTTAGCTCGCGAGCTCGAAGCTCGCGCTGAGACACGCGGTGGGCACGTGCGCCTACGGGTAGCGCGGCCAGCCACCATGTTTTCAAAATGGAGGTCGACGCTTTTGAAATCCGTGTAGACGATGGTGAGGGCTGAACTTGATTGCTAATCTTTTTGAAACAGACTGTAGGTTGAAATTTTTAGGGGGTGCACATGCCCCCGCCGCCCCCCCCCCCCCCCCCCCCCCTATGCTGGCTACGCACCCCTGTAACACATTGCATAGAAGACAGTGATGCTCTGCAACTGCCTCTAATTGGTGTGACTTTGCACAGGGCGTCTGCTGCACAGCTTTCACGCCTGGAGTCGTTCAACCCGGTATGTGCCATCATGTGATTCATGTTACTCTTTGTAAGGCCACGCGAACACAGTTGTCTTTTCGCAGTCTCAGAGGCACTCCCAGATCAATGCAGGGAGTGAGTCGCTTGCATATACGTAACGTTACGCCCTAGCATTCTATTATGCTTATACATCGTACCAAGAGTATAATATTATAAGCCCTCAAGAGTGTGCAACTCTGCGTATGGGGTCTCCGACGGCAAAACTTCACATCACGTGTCTCAGGTACGTTTTGTACTACGTACAGCTAAGGATAGCGTGCGCGCAATCCGGAAATCTGCCGCGATTATGCTGGCGAGTTGCATACGCGCAGTAAGTTTCTGCCAGGGAGTGTTTTTATTGTTACTCCGCTGCTCGCTAAAAACGAGCTGGAAACGTACGACTGGGACACCGCACCATGTGATATGGGTTTTCGCTGTCGGCGTACCCCATAGAAAGGGTATCAGGAGTTGCACACTCTTGGGGGGTTATATACTCTTGCTTGTACATACATGACTGTATGCTAGTACATAATATGCAAACACCTTCTTTAAAAAGTTTCTTTTGCAGCTTTTGCGCCCACTGTACTTGGTGCAGTGATTTCCCAGTGCCCTGCGATTAAAAAATCCGTATTCTGCTGGTATCTGGTGTCTTCGGCACTAATGTACAGTGGAACTCCTTAGTACATACTCTGATATGGCGTACTCAGGCTAAGCTCTGCCATTGTCTGGAGCACAGGTGCAACTACGGTAGTTACATTGATCCATACTGAAGTATGTGTTGGGATAAGAAGTACTTCGGATGTTCAGTGCACCTGTGTTGCCACACCTGCCGACATGTCAGTAGCCTGCCGATTTTTTAGGCCGGTCACGACCTGCCGACAATTGACCGTCTCCTGCCGACAACAGCCGTGAAAGTGTCCAAATTTGACCTTTCTGCAAGGTTTAGAAGTCATGGTCCAGAATTTTGGCTTTTACTGCTCATTACGAGTGTTTCCATAGCTCTCTCCTACAATGCAAACATCAGCTGTCTGGGGGAAATCGGCAAACTCAGCCTGAGTCGTGTGCACTGTAGAATCCCGCTGGTGGGTTTGTACAACGAAGCTTGGCGATGTTCAACCTTGGCCTAGGCTTATGTGCGGGTGGGTTTATCCGCTGGATTCTACGGTATATTGGGGATACTATGAAGGGGGGGGGGGGGGGTCCGGGGGCAAAGCCCCCGGATGATGCATTTTATTTTTTCAGTCTACTGATATTTGGCTATAATGATGTGGCAACACTGGTGCAGTTTCCTGTTACCAAGAGTACATAACCCCCAATAGTGTGTAACTCCACTATGGGTGCTGTCCCCGACAGAATTTCAAGTTGACGTCATTTTCTCATGATTCAATGTGCATTGCACACGTATGATGAGACGTATCCTGGACATGTGGTGGACAAGGTCGGCTTGATCTCGCTTTGCTTGTACAAGGAAACACGTGTGATACCGTTTACACCCCGTACAAACATCGTAAATCACTCATGCGAAGACCATTGCGTCATAAAAAATGACGTCAACTTGAAATAATTCTGTCGGGACAGCAGGGTATGTGGGAGTTACACACTCTTGGGGGGTTATGTACTCTTGCTGTTACCCATGCCGTGCGTCCTATCAGAGCTCTACTGTACATGTACTGATGCTGATCATGAACAGCAACATTGAGCTTTGGCCCTCAACTTCTCCAATAAAGCTGCAGCAGCAGCAGCAGCACAGGTGTGGAACATCGGAACACTGGCCTGGGGTCAGGGCACTGAGCCGGCTGCAAGTGCTGCTACAGTATCTTCACAGGAACAGAACTATTGAACACCCCCGTCTACTTGATGTAGTATACTGTTGGCTGGACTGCACTACATGTATTGTGTTTCTTTGCGTTGTGTGCAGCAAATAGTTGATGACACCGGTGAGCTGTGGAAGCGCCACTGCATGAAGGACTTCCGCACTGCAGGGCCACAGGAAGGCGAGTCTTGGAAAGACTGCTACACTGTAAGGCTGTACAGCTGTACAGCGTGTTTCGAATCCTGTTGGGCGTTGTGTGTTGGGTGGGTGGGTGCGTGTTTGTGTGTGTGTGTGTTTTATCTAATCTTAGTCATGGCAATGAAAATGAATGTAAAAAATATAATGGACACATGGGTACGAGTTATGAGTCACTGTCCAGTACTGTAACTAGATAGTAAGGAGTTAGAAGAAATCGCGATAACTGGGTACACAACTGACAGATTACTGAGACACCCAACGACCTAGCTCTAACACATCTCCAGTGCGCAAACCAACAGCCTTCCAACTTGGAAGGTTCAAGGTTTAGGTGGGAACAAAGAGGGAAAGGTGAGCGAAGCGAAAATGTCCACAAGCTAAGTCCCACGTCAAAGGAGAATGTCGACTGTTACCGGATGATGGCGACTTTGACGAGACCAATATCTCAGTATTCGGAATCAGTAGTCTGTCGGTTTTGTGCCCAGTTATTGCGCTTTCTGACTGCGTATTATCTACAGTTGTGCTCGGCGAAATCTTACCAAAACTGCAAGACTAGCGCCCTGTACCAGTTCTAATTACATCATTGTATTTGTACATGTGTACGTACAGCCGCATTCGTGCCACTTCCGGGGCAACAAGGGCTGTGCAAATTGAGGGCGTCAAATGTACATGTACATGTACACTCTGGGTCGGATTTCACCGAGCGCAACTGTAGTTACAGTTTTGGACAGTGACTCATAACTCGTACCCATGTGTCTTTTATATTTTTCACATTCATTATTGGCTCAATATCCGAGTTCAAATGAAAATGAATTTGAAAAATTCAAATTGATCATTTAATAAGACTCGGATGGAGAGCCAAGGATTAAATTTAAAAAGGACCTGGTCACCAAAATGTTACAATGTCATGTTATCCGTAGTTTGTGTCCAACACAACATCTTGCTTATAACTGTTAGTGTTTCACACACTTTAACTATGGATAACATTTAACATTTTGGTCCTTTCTTTTTAAATTTGATCATTTAATGATCGATTTTTCAAGCCAGTATATCAATTTAGCTGCCAACTGTAGACGATACGCACTGTGCATGTATTTCGGTTTCCCATGATTCTCAACAATGAGATTGAACTGTAGCTACCTTCAGTGTGCTTAATCAGCTGTGTTGTTCTTTGATGGCTTGGTTTTCCTCTTCAACTGTGCTTGTGTGATATCTCATGCGTGATATAGCGAACTGCTGAGGAGAAAAGTAACCGCCTACAATCGCTCACTGCCCGGATTAAGAAGACCAGTCAAAAGCAAGCACAAGAAGATGGTGAGAACATGGGGCCAGGAGTTTCTGTCTTGCTCACTGCATTTCATCACGTGTATTAATTAGTATCGTTTCGAATGGATAGATTCACAGTCACACACAGCGCAAGCCTGCACTGGTCTGGGTTACATTGCATTGACATCCTAAGCTCCTAACATTACCTCATTCCAGCTATGCACTTGCAGATCCGTGATTGCATTGTGCACGAAGCATGCCTGTAGGCAGTAGCACCCACCTGTGTCGGTAAATCCGTGATTACATTGTGCACAAAGCATGCCTGCAGGCAGTAGCACCCACCTGTGTACACTACCATGCACCGGTGAGCAGCAGGACCCAATGTGGGAAGTGAAGTACACAGCCCACTCTGGGGCTATGGACTCTAGCAGCAACTCATGCAGGGTTAAGTGCATGGCATGTAAATCACACGACACTGCTGAAGAGTTCACTTGCATATTATGACATTGCTCTTTCTTTTGAACATGCCCTATGTAGCTAAACATGCGGCCAAGTTCACGGAGGTGACCCGTGCCCCACGCCGTAGAACTGTGGCGTCGGCCCCGTCTTCTTGGCAGCGTCCTGCAACAACTCCGTTCAGCAGAGCTGCTTCTTCAAGTATGTATACCGTGTGTGTGTGTGTGTGTCTTTGTTTGTTTCTGGGTCCATAATATACTTTTCATTTGAAGTACATGTATACGTACCTGTCGACCAACGGCCATTTTCTGGCTAGATTAACCCTTTGTGACCCCACTGAAAGTACGACAATTTACTCACCTCCAAATAACATGCACTTTCGCTTGTATCTCTGCCAAACATTCACCGATTTTTACAAACTTGCCACCGCTGGAAAGGTATTTCCAAGACGAAGCGACTAATACCACACTCAAGCCAGCTAACTGCACGGCCTCTGCTCTGCGTGGCCTAGAATGCCGCTCAAAACAGCAGCCGTGCGCGAACAGCTCCAGCAAAGTTCAAACAGCCGCCATTCCATTCTCCTTCGTCACATCGACTTCAAATAAACTACAGCGGAAAGTTCGTTTCAAGCGCAAAAGTTTGGCGTGCAGCATGCTTGAGTATGACGTAGCACTCCAGGGAAAACCCCCGCCAAGCGCAGTGTGAACATTTGAATTTTTCGATCGGAGTGAATTTTTCAGTTTTCCGCCGACCTCGAGTCTCACCGCGGCGGCATCGTACCTCGTAGAGACTTCAGATAACTTCGACGTGATAGCCAAGGTTTCCTCTCGAGACGTAGACGCTTTGTTTATGAAAATCGGGGAAGGAACACCAGAGATATAATATTTTTAGTGCCACTGTATACCAATCGATCGATATCGATCGATGGGGTCACAAAGGGTTAACTCTGGTGCTTGTGAAGTCTTTATCAGATCCACTCTTGACCTAGCAACCCACACTAGTATGAAGTATGACACTGGGGGCAGGGATAGATGCTGCTAAATCCCGGGATGGATACCTTAATGCCGTCTATCCTTCTTGTGCACTTTGCCCTCACCCACAATCTACAGTGTGGTGAGCCCATAAGTGGGATCATTTCCATGCCCACCCAGAGTTTTGGGTTTTTTGAGTGGTGTCAGCAATCGGGCGGATCAATAGCCATCTTTCCAAGTTTCCTTCTCTCCACTGTTCCGTGACACCCACGTGACCAGTCTCTGGTAGTGAGCAAGAACTATATTATTGTGCATAATGTCCTCCCAGGAACGAGCGGCCTGGTCGCAGTCTGACACCACGTTCTGAGTCTACAGTAGAGTCGCGCGCGCACAAGAACGTTTTCATGGGGTTAGCCTGGGGTGTTCTTTTTGCACGTTCTTGGAAAAAGATCGCAGCGGATTTTATCTCTTTGTCTGTCAAATCCTATATATAGGATTTTTCCCAATTTTTGGGAAAGGGTAGATCATACCTTACAAAGTAAAGTTCTTTCTGCAAAAACCTGTTGGAGTCTGCATTCCGTGTTTATCAGAGATGATGCCTGCCAAGTTTCACCAGCACAAGGGCTTTACTTTTTCTGTAACAGGCCTTCCCGTGCAAAGGTGTCCAGAATTTTCAAAACCCTATATATAGGATTTGGCCTCTTCGAAAATTGGTTTTGTTCTTCCCAGTTTCCCCTGCCAATAAAAACCATAGTTGGCAATATCCAAGCCTAGATATAGCCCATATGGAGCTAACAAAAACATTCTATGCATCTATGGCTAAAGAAGAAGCACCTCCTAGGCTAGTACCAAAAGAGCATTCCACTATTAATATGTGTACATACTTGAACACAACTGATTTAGTAAATGCCCCAAACATGTAGTGTCGTTAGTTCGTATTGATCTGCGAGCACTTTACAACACTACTTCAATGCTAGGATGATGCTAATATTCATCTATTCCACTGCTAGTCTATTTCTACCACTTGTAATTGCACTTTGAATTCATCAGCAATAATTGCACACAGACACCTTTCCTGGGGGTCTTAGCCAGTGAGTAACCTCTATTCATTCATTTTAAATAAAGAGAGGCATTGTGGAAAAGATCAAAAATGCATCTTCAATAACATTGCTTCCACTTCGACCACTTTCGAGGCTGCAAATGCGACTTGAAGTCTAATCCTATATATGGGATTAACTGGTGACAGACAAAGAGATATATCCCAAACCTGCCAGAAAAGTAACACCACAGTGCTGCATGTTTACCGCCACTCGACTCTACGGTATACGTAAAAAATCTTGCGATGTGACACATACACACCAACTGTTGTCTTTCCTGCTCAGTAGTGGTTCCAGTGTGTTCATGTGGTCCCAATCGTCTTTGACTTTGTATTTTGTCTGCTGTACGTTGTGTGAATGTGTTGCAGCTGGCAAGCCTCTGATGCAGAAAACTATGAAAATGATGGCAGCAAGGTAAAGGAGGTTTCCACGCTGTGCAGTTCTGTTTCCCCACCTACTGTATATTGCCCTGACCTTATTCTGTAGTGCAAGTAGTGATGTATCTGCAGAGCGTGCTAAGTATCGCAATGGGCGATTTGTAGAGATTCAAAAAATTGTTCACTTTGGGGACCACATTTTTGTATTGCGAAGCCCCACATGCTGGAAATGGAAACGGACTTTTTTTAGCTGGAAGCACAGCCGCTGATCAGGAGTGCCTAACCATTCTGTTGGTGTTTTTTTCTGTTGGCTCCCTCCATCTTTAGACGGCAAATGAATGTGCCAGCGAAGCCTCTGGGTCGACGATAGATGTTCGCCAAGATGCAGATGTATTTGTTGTTCTGTTCGCACTGCTGCTGCACATATGCTTGATTATCCTGCTCTGTGGCATTTTGATCACCCTGTATTTTGTTTAGAAGCATCCCTGATCACCTTCATGTGTAATTTTATTTCAAACCAATGAATAGTTTTTTTCTTCCTACCGGTAAATTGCTAGCTGCATATTTTCTAGCAATGTGATATCACTGGAAGCTATTCTTATGCCACTAGTGCCAGTAGAGGTTCTGCTCACGCCTAGTCTCGTTTTTTTTATGAGTTCGAACTGGCACCTATCACCTTCTCGAATACGTGAACATTTCTATTTTCCTTTTTCTGAGACTGAAGTTTCTATTACCAAAACTATGTTACTTGTCTGGTAAAAATATTAATAATAAACCCACCACGATTTCGGGTGCATCACTATTTTTTTAGTTATTTAGTATTTACTGATTTTACTCAGTACTGATATACAGTATTAACACTGGACTTGTGCGATTAGGGCCATGAGTCCCATGACCCTGTCTTGAATAGTGCCCGTCTTGGTTTATGTACTCTTGATAACACCAAGAGTCCATAACCCCAGGGGTTATCCGGGGGTTATGGACTCTTGAGAACACTCAACAGTCAACAAGTTTGTTCCCCACATTCTGCTATTTCTGGACCCAGGGGCCGGTTTGAACATTTTTATCAGCTCACGTCTTTCACCTGGTTTCCGTCGATCCTGATGGCCCAGACAGATGCATGCCGGCAATTCTTTCGGCAAGAATTGAAAGAGCGGAAATTGCCGGCAAAATATCGAGATGTTGGGTAAAATCGATGCCTGATACTTGGATTTCCTTGTTTCTTACCCGTTCAGCAGGATACAGTACACTGCCCAGGACGAGATCGTGTCACCGAAATATCACTGGGATTCACTGTGGATCGACGTGATTTTGGAAGAACTCAGGGACACGTGCGTGGAAACCCGTGCTGAGAAACCGACCCTGCGATTTTGATGAAACTTTGTACGGGATTGTGCGGGAAGTGGATAAAATACACGTCTTTTAGGAGCAAAATAGACCAAAAAGAAACAAAGAAAAATGATGGCACCTACATGTATGTACAGGGGATGGCCCACGCCTGGTATAAAGTAAACGTAAAAGAGAAAAAAGAAAAGAAGGAGCAAAATGGAGCATAATATCGGTTTCTTGTGCCAGGCTCGGCAAAATATCGAAGATTTCACAGCAACATTTTGCGGCAAAATAATTATCGTTATCGAGGCAAGCGGAGCAGAATCTGTCTGGGCCAGGGAGTCGAGATGTTTTCATCATTATTTTGTTTTGTTTGTATGATTTTCCGGGTTCTTTTTTTAAAATACTCGGCTTTTCTGTCCCCGGGGAAAATTGCGGAAAAAATCGCAAAAAAACGCGGGGAAAAACGTGGCATAATATGGCATAATTTGCGGTGAATTTGCGGTAAATATGCGGTGAATAATATTGATGTGCGGCAATTTTTTTTTAGTGAGTATGTAGTGAAATCAATCAGTTACAAGTCTCTGGTGTATTAATAGGTGTCAAACATAGTGCTAACGTATATAACTGAGTGCAGCCACAAAGCAAGAGGTGATACAGTGCAACATGACACAACATTTACATCTGATAACCAGCTACGAGAACAACTTTAGCGCGACTACATGCTTCTTTTGTTTACAAAGAACAGGATTATGCACACGAATACATACAGCTTCCAGAACCTTCAACTGAGTCATCTGCGCTTTTCTCTTTCTCCATGTACTGTACCAGATGCATGGTACGGGGACGTAGAATTCTAGAAGCTACCGTACAGCATGTACACGGGGACGTAGAATTCTAGAAGCTACCGTACCGTTTGATCCAGAGAGTAGTACAATACGGTACTACTTTCAGGTTTGATTTTATCAAAGACATGTACGGTAGTAGCTGGCAGTGAAGAGCTTTTCATTTGGAGCTTTTCACCACCCGAGGATTCAGAGAAGACCTTCAAAGTTCAAGTACGAGTTGTTGCGTTTTGTTCGGCTGTTTTCTCACTTCTCTCTTTTTCGTTTGGATTTCATTCAACGCAATGGCCCCAACCGTTCACGTCAGCTACTGGTATGTGATTAGATGTACACAATAAGTTACTTGTATGGGAAAACAATAATAATTATGCACTTGTTATAAATGCGCGGGCCACCCGTTTGGTGGCAGTAAGCACGGCAATGACTCAGTGGTGTGTGTGTGGTCAGTGTTTGTCTGTCTGGCGCTAGTCTTGATCTGTTTCAGTCAGATCTTGTCCGCTATCAAAAAGAGAAAATCTGTGGGTGCACATATCCAGTGCATTGTCCGATCTGCGTGCTTCCCTTTCGACGGGCGGATGCATTGTGTGTGTGTGTGCGTGTGTGTACTATTAGAAGGGACTTCAGACCTTTTTTTTTCAAATCGGTTTTCTGTGGCTTATGTTTTGCTTTTCGGATAGGTTAGAGCTTCCTGAGGAGTTCGGTCTTTAGTTTTTCTAAATTGGACAAAGGAAACTAAAGTTTCAAGCAAAATAGTCATCGCCTATCACCGGATTTTTTCCGACAAACGTCCCACACATTTGAGATCGGAGAGATAATGTCAAACTGAGAGAACCCACTTTCCTTAGCAATGCATAGCAACCGCACACCAGATCCAAAAACAATCTTGATTCTCCGCATGATATAGCTGAATACTACTTACTAGCATGGTTTACAATGTAGTGGTTAGTAACAGGAGACATTGATCCGATAGCTTCGGACTGTTAGTGTCAAGAAAAAGAATGATCACGGAAGAGGCACTGACTAAGCTCAACATGTACATGTACAGGACATTGTATTGGCTGGGGTAATCGTAGCACGCACATCAGCAGAGATACAGCAAATAGCAACAACAATATACAGCAAATCTCCCAGTTCGGCACTCTTTCAGCTATTCTTGCGGAGCTCAACCAGATCGAGCATAACAGCATTGGAGACAAGAATGGGGGCATGGACCGAAACAGCCAAGAGCAATTCACTTTGCACATCAGCATCATTTAGCGCAGGATACTTCTCACTGCTTTCCATACTGACTATGGCGGCGCTGCATGGCAAAGTACAAAGAGGAATAATGCAAGACATAGGTCTTCTGGAAGGTGAAAACAATCAAGATTACCTTGAGGTCGTAGAATATGAATATCACATTTTCAAGAAGGGGACCCGGACGGATCATATAGTTTCTCACCTTTCCCTTCCATCCGCATACGTATCTCCGTCAAAAATGAACGTAACAGCTCCATTCTCTTGCTGGTCCCAAATGAAGGCAAGCTCCAACAAGACGAACCGAAACTTTCTCCAACTGTACAAGACTTCCTTCATTTCGAAAAACGGTTCCACATTTCTTTACTCGACTTGACATATGACCATCACACGATTTGTGCAGGTGTCGATTTGCACGCTTTTGGGTCATGATGTCACGTGGTCTGAAGTCCCTACTATTAGTAGCATGTTGTAGCATAATTATAGGTAGATGACATGGGCGACTGAATCACTAAAATGACGTGAGCTGCCCGTTACAGCCGCCCTTGGACAGGGCAGATTTATACATGCTCGCACATGCCACATGGCATAGCTTGCAGTGGCTGCACTTGGGACCGGCAGGCCAAGGCTACGATCACGACCGTGAGTTGCACAGAATACGGACCACGTGGAACTTAAAAATCCTGGGGCGACGTTCACAGTATTTCGGCAGTATGATCTCGTGTCATCTCCCTACCCGTGCTCGTAGTGACGCGTTAAAGCGCATGTGCTTATATTTGGGCATACGCGCACCCTCACATATTTGCGGATGAGCTTATATGTAAGCAGTGAATGGGATTTTCGGTCTTTGACCACATGCTGATAAGCTGATCTACTCACCTCCCACCGCTTTAGGAGCTGCATCTGCGCCTTGATCCTTGAAGGGTGGTGGCGTTCCTACGGATGCGGAAAACTCGGCCTCTATATCTCTTAATTTGCTGGGCAAAAGTCCTATATATAGGATTTGAAAATGCGTGACCTTTATGCCGTTGTTATTGGTCATCGTGAGTCATTCATGACCCATAATAAGAGCATAATGGTTTTATTAGAAGCTGTAAATATGTTTGAGGCATGAATGTTTACTTTTTAGATTCATAGGACATCATGAATACCCATTTTGAGCAAGGATTGGAATTTTGAGCAGCATTGTTCAGCTGGTGTCATGGGAAGGACTGAAGCAGTGAATGTGCAAAAGAACATTACAGGTGTGGCACGGGGTGGTTTCATGACGACATATCGCACATGCCGTCGTGAAACTACCAATTTTAAGGATAAAACAAGGTCCAGTAAAATCTCAAATCCTATAGACCTTATTCGATAAACGTCACAATCACGTGAACCGGGGTCCCGGGAACCAGGGAGTGGCAAGAGATCTGCGCTCAGTGCACAGTGGACTCTGTGTGCGAACATCGGAGTAGATAAATACCGGTATTTCACTACTCTTTTGTACAAACTGGGCCTTTCTTGCCACTCGTTTCTCGTACGCGTGCCCTAGCTTATGACAAATCCCTGGAGGCGAGTCCAAAAGTCACGTTATCGAATAAGGTCTATATATAGGATTCGAAAAATAGGGCACATGCCTTAGAAATATTGCGCAAGGAGATGAGCCTTAGATGTTAGTATTTGAAAAAATATATCTTATTCAATTCTCCATATCGACTAAGACCTAACGCGGAAGAATTGGTCACATACGTTTCCCTATGCTCATGCCACACCCATTTTGAGTTGAAAAATATGACCAGAATCCTATATATAGGATTTAGCAAATTAAGAGATAGAGAAACCGAGTCTCACGCGAACCGTGAAATTTTTTTATATTTTTTTATGTGAACCCGATCCCGCGAGGTGAGACCAAACAACCTTCAAAGAATTTCAAATATGCCAAAAACTCGCTTATAAGCGCATGGGCTTAAATGTGGGCCACTACAGTGGAAGCTACGACTCCCTGGTGGAATTCTTACAAGACAACACAGCGGCCGAGTGGAAGTTTGAGCAATTGGGGCATGGCTGATTTGTGCACCCATGCGTATGTTCCTGCGGGCTTGAACTGTATTTAGGGTGGGCATGTTGCGGTGTGGATTATGATCGTGTGTTGCATAGGCCTCGGATAGCGTAGAACGTCCAAATCTGGGGTCAACATGTACCACGTTTCTGGTGCTAAGGTTTCGTGTTGTCTTCTATGATGCTACAACTCCCTGGTGGGGCAAAGCGCCGATGCGCCTACGCACAATACGTGCCAGTGCAGGCATACCTGTGGATGAAAATATGCACTATCCAGCATGGCAAGACTGATCTTTCGCGTGGTTGCACATAGCAGTTGCACTTGGGGGCGTTGATCTAATTCCCAGCCCCTGCCGAAAAACCAGCTGGGAAGCGACACAGTGTGTACGGTACTTGCAAAGTTTCATGTGTATTATAGTATGTTTCCCGTTTACTGGAACCTCACCGATGTCATTTGGAATGCGATCAGTGATAAATGGTTGCTTGTCCTAGTACACTTTCCACTCACCTGATCCTTCTGAGTGCTTGCACTGGCAGTTGCATTCGACAAACCGCGCACAGATAAAACGTATCTGTATTTTTGTTCGATACTGTGTAGTAGTGAAGCATTACAGAATGTTGATTGGTGGCGGAATTTACAGAGGGGTCGGATCAACAATGCAGTACCACAGTGTTTCAAAACATGTCTATGTAAGTCATGTTTATGTTGTGCAATCCCGCTTTAAGTGGCTGGTGTTGGTTGTTGTCCTTTCTTGGTGCAGTGGTGCCTGAGGGTACTATGGCCGCTACAAAGATTTGGAGCGGCGTATCAAAGAAGCCGTCCCTGATGCTGACGTCTCAGGCAGCACAGGAGGAAGAGGTAGGAGAGTGTCCAATGTGTTCTGCCCTTCTGATTGACTAGTTGATGCTGTATGACAGTTCATTCGGATTTCGAATTCGTGCCTTCACTTTGTCTAGAATTTGAGATCATTGTGTTCACGCATTTCGAACAGTGATCCCTTCGTTCTTAGCATAAACGGCATCTCGTCCTTCTGTTGTTGTCTGCAGGCGACTTCGAAGTCAAGGTCAATGACACCCTCATCTTCTCCAAACAAGTAAAGGGTGGATTCCCAGTGTTTGAAGAGGTAAGGAGAAGCGTCCTGGAGATGGTCACAAATAATCGGTGGCCGAGCTTTTTTTTGCAAGTGACATCTTTCAGAAAGTGGTGGACATCACGCAACTGCATTGTAAATAAAAGGGGGGTTGTCAACTGACAACCGCTCTGTTTAGTTGCTATTCACTCTTTAGATGAAAATTCTTTTATTAATGACGTCGAAAGATTATTGGCGTTTCGGGCCAATCACCCATCGTCAGAACAATGTACAAGGAGCGAACCTGGCCTTTTATAACGAAAGCAAGCAAGAGTGTATGTATGTCCATGTACATAACAAACGAAACACACAATAGCCGTATGCAATTGAGTGTCTGAATTTGCATGTACAACCGACAAGGAGAAGTGCGCTGAAAGAGTGGATATGCAACAGCTAAGCAGATAAAGCGCAGGAAATGAAGTGAGATCTGTTCGTGAATTGATCGTGTAAATTACAGATACGGTCTGTATCAACTATAGTGTGACCAGGTGTAAGGATATATTGGCTAAAAGTGATATCAAAACGAAATATCAAAAGCAAAATGCATTTGCATTCGTACCACCTCCAGGGCGTCAAGGGCCGTGCCAGTTGAGGGCACCGAAATTGTTGTCTGAATTCGCCGAACACAACTGTACATTGTAGACTCTTGAGCATTTGGACATGGTTGAGTACCTCGTGTACCTGTATGTCTACATGTACTGTAAATATACAAAATTTCGGCGCTGCAAAATTTCGGCACTTCACGATTTTTCACATTTCGGCGGCGATTTATTTTCGGCGTGGGGTAGAGGGCATGGTATAGTGCGACAGATGCTGTGAAAAATTTCATCGGCGTTTTAATTTAGGCGTTTTGGGTCGGTGCCGAATATAGCCGAAATTAAATAGCTGCCGAAAATTTGTATATTTACAGTACATGTACGTATGATATCGCTTGTAGTAATGCATTGGATACAACCGTGATGAAACTGCAGTACACAAAGGGGCACACTATAGCCGATACAGGCTGTATTGGAGATTAGTTGATCTGCCCATTGTCATGACAATCACATGTGTAAGTATTCATGTTCAAACAGTTGTGTTTCAGCCTGGTCGGACTCCAGCACTTTTCCTTTATCCTTTGACCTGCAAGCATGCAGTGTGTGATACGTCTTGGAGTTTGTGGGTTTAATTTACATACTGCTCACCGACCCTTGGTATGTAACTCTGTGTGTGTGTGTGTGCGTGTGTGTATGTGTATGTGTGTGCATGTGTGTGTACATGTGTGTATTTGCTGCTTCAACTTGTCCTCAGGTTGTTGAAATAGTTCTAGATGTGGCCAAAGGGCAATCTCCACGTCCTGTCGAGAACTCGCAGAAGAGCTCTTGTGTGATTGTGTAAGGAGACTGGGCTACTGCTTGGTATTGGGCTGCTGCTGCTGGCTTTGCAGATGATCCGGTTAGTGTTCCACTGGACCACACTCTGGGTTAGACCGACTCTATGACGCTAGCGATGTAACCTTGCTTTTTCGGCCGGATGTCGTTAGTTGAAACCCCTTGTCGATTCTACTTCGGATTGTTCCTTTTGGATGCTAACCTCGGCAACTCATACCAGTTGCACAGGACAATGCTTGCTTTTTTGTGTACAATGTAATAGTAATTTAGAATGTTTTATGCTTTTTTTAATGTACTTCATAGTATACTTTTTAGTTAAGTCAAAACGAGACCTTTACATGTAGGTTAGTTTCATTTGCTCAATGCAGTTGTGCGTACTGTGATCCTGCAGCTTGACAGACGTTTCCTGCATCTGTTCTTTGTTCTAGGTGTACTGTCAGCTGCGGTAGATACGTGTATGTGTGTGTGTTCGTGCGTGTGTCATGTGCACATACTGTCAAGTGCTGCCATTCCAATCCGAGTTGTCCAGGAGCGTTTATTCTATTTGCCAGTAATGAGGTGTTTGGTACAGTTGCGCTCGATGAAATCCGACCCAAAGTGCATATCCCTCAACTTGTGCGGCCCTTGACGCCCTGGAAGTAGCCCGAATGCGGCTGGACGTACACATGTACAACTACTGCACGGTGATGTGCGCGGAATCCAGGCCAGGGCGCCAGCTTTGCACTTTGGGTCAGATTTCAGTGAGCGCAACTGTAGCAGTAGCAGCTGCAGTGCTGCTCAATGAAATCCGATCAAAAGTGAGTCAATGCTACGCCGGGCAGTGTGCAGCCCCAGACCTGCGGACACCGGGATGTAAACTGGTGCAGTGTGCAGCCCCAGACCTGCGGACACCGGGATGTAAGCTGGTGCAGTGTGCAGCCCCAGACCTGCGGACACCAGGATGTAAACTGGTGCAGGGCATAGACTTTACTCCCGCGATCAGATTTCATTGAGCAGCACTGTACTTGGAACACCAGGATGTGAATGGCGTTCGGTTACGCGGACTTATTTTGCAAATGAAATCCAAGCGTTGCTTCATGTATTTCCCTCAGACTCCTGGTGTAGTTAGAGACCTTGCATTTTGGTGGAGAACTGCAACTCGTCCCTTGTTCCGTTAAAGGGGAAGTTAAGGCAAAAATTAAAATTTCACCAGTTGTAGTCTTCGGGGTGCTGAGTCGAATGGTCTTGGTCCGAGAAAGCTGAGACGCTCCCTTCCTACTTGAATCCCAATCGAACTCGCGCACTTCCACCGAAACTGGGTGACTGCGCCCTACTAGATGGGGATTTGTATGCAAAATGTCACTAAAAGCGCCGTTTCGTTCTTATAAAAGCACGGATGACCGCGATTGGCCCATATGTTGTAGTCTTTTGGACGCTGCGTCGACTGGTTTTGGTCCGAAAAGGCTGCGATGCAGCGTTCCTCCTTTATTCCCAATCGAACATGGTTGAACAAGCGGTCACGTGCTCCTGCGTACACCAGTCAGCTGGTCACCGTGCCTGCAGGGTACAACTTACTAGCCTGTTTGACCTTTTTTGGGTGCAGTCCTGTCACTCGAGTTGAACCTTGGTGTGAAAGTTGTCGCCTGCTGGCGTGGTGACCAGGTGATTTGGGCACCCAGGAGCACGTGACCACTTGTTCAACCATGTTCGATTGGGAATAAAGGAGGAACGCTGCATCGCAGCCTTTTCGGACCAAAACCAGTCGACTCAGCGTCCAAAAGACTACAACATATGGGCCAATCGCGGTCATCCGTGCTTTTATAAGAACGAAATGGCGCTTTTAGTGACATTTTGCATACAAATCCCCATCTAGTAGGGCGCAGTCACCCAGTTTCGGTGGAAGTGCGCGAGTTCGATTGGGATTCAAGTAGGAAGGGAGCGTCTCAGCTTCCTCGGACCACGACCATTCGATTCAGCACCCCGAAGACTACAACTGGTGAAATTTTAATTTTTGCCTTAACTTCCCCTTTAAGTAAGCAAGTGGTCCGATGACTCGGATGAGGGAGTTATACCCAAACCAGGTTTGGGTATGATTCCCTGGGTCCGATTTATTGGGTGCTGTCAAAAATCCGATCCGACAAAGACCACAAGATGGGTAGCAGGGAGTCGTAATTATAGCTTAGTGCATGGCAGGGAGGGCCTTATAGTATTTTACGACTCCCTGATGGGTAGTCTCATTTATTGCCAATACAATCGTGTACACGCATGCCTGGTCATGTTTTTGTTTTTTTTACTTTGTTCACATAACCAGCTCGAAAAGAATAAGGAAAGACAATGGTACGGAGACCAGGGGCGCGTTTGGTTGGTATGAACTAGAACAGTATTCACCAGAACAGCGCGTTTGGTTGGGACTGCACCTGTTCTGGGTCGGCCAGAACATGTTCTGCTTGCTCCGGCCTCGAGGCCGGAGCAGACCGAGCAGTTTCACATTTTCACAGTGAAACCTGGCGGGAACATCGATTTTGGTCCCAAATGATCACGTGCACACGCTTTTGGGTTGGACTCGTACCGTACAAAGTGATCACGGTGACCCATACACATTATGAAGAATGCACCAAGTTTAAATGTGCTCTGTTTCTGGAGTACCGTTTGGTTGGCATGAGGCTGCTCCATGTGCACCAGCTGTTCGATCCTGTTCTAGATCGTACCAACCAAACGCACCCTAGGACAAACGTGACAACTGGAAGTGGTAATGAGCAGTGTGGAGAAATCGTGTCAGGTGTACTAATATGTATGTTCATGCACTCATATGATAATTATGGTACAATTATGTAATCCTTGGCCCCGTTGCCTAAGAGTCAACGTGGTTACGTGTATACTATAATGCCGACAGCATAAACGTTATGCTGACTCAGTCCCATGATAATAATTTACTTACTTGGTAGTAGTATGGTACTGTTCTGGGCAACGTGTTTTCTGGAGTATAAGCCACACTTTAACCAATAATTCACCCCAAAGCGGAGTATTCTGGCACAGATCTCTTTTTCTCACCACCACCATCAGTTCGCGCCTGGTGCCTAGTCGATGCATGGTTACATCAGGTAGCGCATGACACTAGCAGATGACACAGCAACGACATAGCTCGATTCCGACGCTACGTTTTGTCCCCGCTGGGCTCATGCAATCTTCTTCTCGCCCGTCTTCACACGGAGCTTGCCTGAGGTCCAGTAGCGTTTCGTCCAGCGGGCACGAAACGTAGATCTACTTCGAAGTACGTTGCAATCGAGCTATGTCGATGCTGTATCAGGTGCCATTCGCTACCTGATGATGTACCAGCCTGCTATGTCGGATACCACCACAAGTAACCATCATGCATTGACTAGGCGCCAGGCGCGAACTGATGGTGGTGGTGCACCGTTGGTGGGAAGGAGAGCTCTGTGCCAGAATATCTTTGCAGTGTACAGAGCGTGTGTGGGCAGGCGTGTATTCACCGCCATTGCCAGGTGTGTGTTTACCACCATTTGAATCAACCATAAGTACAGCTGCTGCATTGGTGTCTTCAACTTAAAAAACGGGGCAGATGTCTAGTGTCTGTATTTCGTGACCGAAAACTTTGGCTCCGTGCGGCTTATACTCCAGAAAATAGAGTACATTCTTAGGACGAGGGTATCTACGAGCTCGTACCCGACGGCACTGAGAGAAATCCGAGTTCTGACCGCACAGATGTCTGCTAAGTGCAAGAGTACATGGGGAGTTACATCTGTGATTGTACTCAGCGCCAGCGGCTTGATATCTGCAAGAGTAGAGGTGACCATGGTGACGTGTGGAGTCTATGCCTATGCCTATGCCTATTGACTCTTGTTGTTTGTTTGTTGTGCTTTTATTTACCGTAAAATTCCGTAAATAAGCCCACCCTTAATAACGCCCATGTCCGATAATAAGCCCAGTTTTAGGCGGTGTACACTTCAAGTCCGTTTTAGGCTTTTAGCGCCCATGCCCGAAATATGCCCAGCGCTAGGGCGTAAAGTGGACAAGTGGTTTACTTATCAAATCTGTAGTTTATCGCTACATTCTTGGTTACGACCAAATTTCCAGCTGTGGTTTGATGTACATGTAGATCTACCTGTACCGCGCTCAGTGTGAATGGTGGTTCACTGAAACTAGTGGGTTGCTGATCTTCTGCAGATTGCGTCCGAAATAACGCCCATGCCCTAAAATAAGCCCATGCCCAAATATACGCCCAGTTTTTGACGCTCTGCGAAATATACGCCCGGGGCTTATTAACGGAATTTTACGGTATACATGTAGTCGTTCAACCAAACAGGCAATGGTGCCTTCCCACAAGGAGACGACTTAAAAGAGGAGAGAGCAGGAAGAGAATGGGGAGGGGAGAAAAACAGGCACGGAAGGGTAAGTACAAAAGCGGTCTTGATATCAGCATGCTAGGGTATCGGCGGCTAATGCTCGTTTTTTCAGAGTATAATGCTTTTGGCAGTGCTCGATATTTCACGGCATAATGCCTGTTATAAACTTATAATGCTCCATTCACACTATAATGCTAGAGTGATATGTACATGTACATTTTCGAGCTATCTTGGGCAAATATGCACATGGAAAAGAAATTATGTATCCACACTGAGATAAGGAAGTGTAGTTGTATACTGTATAGCAGGAAATTTTCGGACGGAAATATTTTCGGACAAAGCCGAATTTCGACATTTTCGTACGGATTATATTTTCGTACAGTGCTGCATGCTAAATGCACGTGTTTGCATGCAGTACGCATGTATAGTGTACATAAGCTACACCGTCGTCGGATGCAGATCATCGTGATCTCGCCATGCCTTCTTCTCCGGAAACATTTGCCATCCGCCCTCTGTCTATCGTGGAAGTATTCAAGGCACTGTCGACCCTAAGTGTGCGAAAGTCTACAGCTGGCAGTCTTCCTAACAGGATCCTACGAGAGACAGCAGAAGTGCTCGCCCAATCCCTCACTGCTCTCTTTAACCGCTGCACCACTTACCGATCCCAACCCCTTGAGTGGAAAGTTGCAATCGTTACCCCAATTTACAAGGGTAAGGGAAGTCGCAATGACCCTGCTAACTACCGGCCGATATCTCTGCTGAATGGTGTGGCAAAATGCTACGAAGCGTTAATCAGCCGCCAGGTGTACGCGTTTGTAGCGAAACACAAACTACTGTCGCCGAAACAGTTCGGGTTTCGCCACCACCGAAGCACGGTTGACCAACTTGTGCATATCACATCAACTGTCAGCTCTGCATTTGATAACCGGGCCCAGTGTGATGCCGTCTTTCTCGATTTCTCGAAGGCATTTGATCGTACCAGCCATCGCCTCCTAGCCTCATGTCTGTCCGGTTGGTGTGCACCTGACTCATTCGCGTGGCTGATGGACTTCCTGGAAGGCCGATCGA